AGGGGAAAAGGTCTTCCTTTGAACAAAAATTATATAGGTGCATCTCTTGTGTCTTAGAAAATCGCTTCATTTTATTCTCCTACATAAGATGTTCTTGAATCATTATTGTATATGTTTCAATTGTAGGTTGTTGCTCTCCATTGTTGCGTAGATACTGATGAGTTGATATGTCTTACTCGACGACATACACACGGGAGTTTGATTGACGATCGTTCAAAGGAGATATATGTAATAATCTTTTATTTTGTATTTAATTTTTAATTACGTTTACATGTACTACGTATTTTCAAAGATATACAATTCTACACAATGGTACTGAATAATTGTGGAATGTTTATGACTTATGCCTTATGGTATTGTATAATTGTTGAATGTTATGTTCCGATTCTCTTATGAGTGTGTTTGTATATAATATTTGGAATAATATTTTTTTTATAAATAAAATAGAATTAGAGGCGGAATATTTCCCCTCTATTATAGTGGCAGAGAAATCCTCCTCTAATTTTAGAGGTGAATAAGTCCGCCTCTAATTTAGAGGCGGACATTTCTGCCTCTAAATTAGAGGCGAAATTTTTCGCCTCTAGAATTAGCAGCAGCGTGTTTAGCGGCAAAAGAACTTCCGCCTCTAGGTCCCCGCTAAATTTCTATTAGCGGCAGAATTTGTATGATTAGAGGCGGGGTTTTCCTCTCTTTTCGCAATTATTTTTGTAGTGAATTTAACACTACTTTTGTTGTTTCAAATTGTCTTTTCAAAATACCGACTTTGCCATATTCTTGCCTCCAGTCCTCCAATTTTTTAGATCCGTCATTCCTCATTTTGACAAAAATACAATTAATACTCTTTTCGTTCCAAAAAAAAGCTCACTGTTCCACTAGGCACAAAGTTAAAGAAAAATATAAATATATGATTGAAAATATTATAGAAAAGAGATAAAGATTATAAATCATTCATAGTTATCCAAGAAAGGAAAGAAGGTGGCTTTTTTGGAAATATTCCAAAAGAAATACGGAGTAAGTATGTAAGTACATTATAAAAATTTTATCTAAAAAGCTAATACTAATCAAAAACGTTATTCCAAAAAAAGTTCAAGGAATTGAATTGGAAGCATGTGGGCCCCCAAACTCTAATTAGATTCGGACAGAAGCCCTAATTACCCGTAACACGAATAACCCCCTCACTATAAAACTCCAATCATCCTTCTTCCTTTCCTTAATTAACTCCAACCCGGGTCGGGTCTATTCTCCTCCCGCCGTTATTCCTCCGGTCCCCTGCCTCCGGCAGCTATTTCCTTCCTTCTCTCGCTTATTCGTCCTCCCAAACGCGGCCTTAACAGCGAATTTCTGTTCTTACCAGATTTAGGTTCGATCGATCGGAGGAAATCGAAGAACTGATTAAGAACCCTAGATCAGAGATGCGTGGGACGGGGAGGAAGAAGATAGAGATAAAGAGAATCGAGAACGAGCCCCAGAGAATGGTGACCTTCTCCAAGAGGCGCAGAGGTCTGGTCAGTAAAGCAGCGGAACTTGGGGAGAAAACCGGCGCGAAGGTCGCGGTTCTGGTTTTCTCCCCCAGAAACAATGTTTACACCTACGGGGACATCGCGGCGATGTCCAGGGCCGTCGAAGAGGCGGCGGCGAAGAAGAAGAAGAGTGACGACGGCGGGAGCGGGCAAGATAACGTTGGCGCGGCGGCGGCGGCGCCGTCCGGTTGCGGTGGTGGTGGAGAGCTTGAGGCGGAAGAGATTGTTGGGATGCTTAATTATGATGAGATGTTTGAATGTTGTTCAAAAGGTCTTTATTACAAGACTAATTAATTATTCCATTAAGAATATTGCTAGTTAAACGTTTCCAGGTTTATGCCCTAGATGATTACTCACTAAATACACGAATATACGGAGTAGATTATTTCAGTTCATGATTTACATGATCTATTTATTCTCTAGATTATGGAGGTGTTTAATTTAGTATTGCCTTTTTATTTTTAAGTCAATTTTTTATTTTTCATCTTGGCCAGCTGTCTCTTGCCATTTTTTGAATTTTTTTTAAAAGAAATCTTTATGGATAAGAGTAAAAGAGTTTTGAATTTTTTAAGACAAAAAATACAAATATAATAGAAGTGTGATATAAAAAATATGTGTTGACAGTTTGAAGGGAAGATGATTACACTGTAATGTGACAGTGATCAATCATGTGTCAGGCGATCTGCGACGCCACTTTGGTGGCCGAGGGGTGACAGATGGTAGCATTGTGACAATGGTAGTCTAACAATTGCAATGTGACAATGTCGTGAGTGGATAGTGTAACAATAGCAGTATGAACTCCAATTTTGGTTTAAAGAACTAATGACTTTTATTTTGGTATTTTCATATATTTTTACTTTTATTTGAGGAGTTCTTTCTATAAATCCTCCACCCCGCCCGAAACCCAAATCCCACTCTCTTCAATTACATTTTCTTTACTCATCAGTTACCAAGGGAGTACATCACATAAAGCATAATACTCCAGCAATCTTAGGCACCTCTCAAATTTAGTTGACAATTAGTCAGAAACATATACTCCGTATAATGGAATATTGCCACCTAATAGAGCGGGACGCTTAAGGATTGATGGAGTGAGGTATAAGGATTAATTAAGGGACGGGTGGAGGTTTCAAGGTACGATCAAGGAAGGCATGAATCATAAATCAATCTTCAGGAAATAAACAAACTATGAAAATATCAAATGAACTAATTAATGTCATAATATAACATTGAGCTAGTGCCAATGTTTAATCAAAGAGATTAATGATGAATAATTAGCCGTTAGAGCTGCAGCAACATTGGAGGAGGAGTTGGGCCATGACGCCGCAGGATCCCCTAACGTAGCCTTTGTTCCTACATACACTCGTACGTCGTCTTTGAAGAAGCATTTCCCCTTCCTCCCATCACACACTTGATCTCTCACTTCCCCTCCTCTTCTTCCCACTCCCATCGCTACCCATTTTGGCTCACTACTATTTCCTTCTATTTTTGTTTCTCCCTTTCCTGCATCCACAATATATAATAACAATAATAATAACAATAATTATTATTTTCTATTTTAAATATAATACCCCCCTCGTTCCAAATTTCTTGTTTTATCTTTATAACGGAGATGATGACATTGTAATGGGTATTATTTGAACAAATAATTAACGAAAATCGGTAAAAAAAAAAAAGAAGAAGAAAGTTTGGCTGGTGAATAGTGGACCCGAACGATTTGATTAATTTGAGACGGAGGGAGTAAATTGTCAAGGAACCAACTCAACCAAAAGCTCAAACTTGTGGTTGTGGCTCAGGAATGATTGTTATATATTCTAACATAAATATTGCTAAAGAAAGAAATGAGTGCATAGTTTTAACGACATTTATCTTTCATTTAAAAAAAATTCAATCACATGTTTTTTTAATTTCGTGAAGTCAAATTATAATACTCCCTCTGCCATTAAGTTTTTCTTACCTTTCTTTTTGGATCGTCTAAAAATATTTTCTTCATTTCCTATTTTGGCAACATAATTATAATAAATGTGTCATTATACCTCCAATTTTATCTTCATTCGGGCAAACAAAGAAAATCTGAACACCTTTTAGTTTTTCTTAATCTATGTGACGAGTCATACCAAAGAAGAAATTTTTAGACGGAGGAAGTAATATTTTACGAAAAATGTAATGAAATTTATTTGAGACCACACACTTTTAGAAAGATGATTAAACTTAGAAAATAGCTTAGTCAAATTTATTCTATTTTTTGCAAAAAAAGTATGAACCCCCATCCCCGAGAGCCTCTTAGCACCCGCGCTTAGATAGTTAGACAATAAGTTTTTGTTCTCAAAGAATTACCAGTAGAAGATAGAAGCATGATGATGAGGAATAATATTGTCACACATATTCGAAGTGGAGGAGCCATTAATATATTTAAAAAAAAAATCTTTTTTTTTCACGAGATTTATATTAACATATATGAATGAAAATGAAATAAACGTACGTATATTAATGAACTATTTATATTGGCTATATTTGAAGGGTTAGTTGATAATTAAGGCATACGTTTTGAATGTATCCTTCTTTTAAGGATCAAATTAATCAACTAAATGACATTTAGCATGACACCAAGCATCTAACAAACACGTAATTAGAGGAATAGAGGTCATAACATTGTTTGTTTAATTCATAAGTTTTGAAAGCATCCTTCTTTTAAATATCAAATTTGTTAATTACTCACTCCTTTAGTACATGCTTGTCCATTTTTTATTTTCAATTCTTCCCATCAATTTGTCCACTTTCAATTCATTTAATTTCATTATATGTGAGAGTAATAAAATGTTTGATTACAATTTTGACCACCCAACATGTAGCTATTATCCAAAAAAGTAAAATAGTACTCCGTGAAAGAATGGACATTATATATGGTCACTTCCCTAACTCTATTCCTTCTCTTTAGTACATGTGCTAAGAAAAAAATGGGTGAACATATAGGCGCAAAAGTGTTAGAGAGGTTTCTCCCACATGTGAAAAGAAACAAAAAGATCTAACATTCTTTCGTTTCTTAAAATACTCTCGCTTTTATTTTTCTCTTTTCTCAAAATACTTCTATTTTCTACTCCGTATTAAAAAATTACTTTTATCTCTATTTTTCTTACCTTACTTATCACATCATATTTTTTTCTCTAATAATCACATCTTACTTGTACTCATCACATCAAGGACAAAATTAGAAAGTCAACTATAAATATGCGTTCTTTATTTCACCCCTTAGTCAAAATATGAACATTTTTAAGATACGAGGAGTATATAAATTTAATAGTCTCTCCTCATGCAGCCAATTGATTTTAGGATGAAATCCTCATGAACTTGTGTGTTGGGCATATCGCATAAGTACGTACAAATCAGGATGTGTCCCTCACGCTATGATTGGCCCACCAGACTTTTACACAATATCATAGCAAATAAATGATCACGTGTTAAGTACAAATTACCACTTTATATCTACTCCATCCGTTTTCAAAAACACTTTCTCTTTCATTTTTTTCACTTCCAACAAAACACTTCCACTTTATATTAAAAAACCACTTTTACCCTTACTTTTTCATACCATACCTATCACATCATACTTTTTTTAATAATCTACACATCACATCTTACTTTTACCCATCACATCAAGGGCAAAATTGGAAGTCAATTATAATTTAATACTTCCTTATGTTTTCACTTTTTCAAAGTAGAAACTCTTTTTGAAAACAAAGAGAGTATCAATCTTTGATTGCAATTTAATTTACAAAACTATGGCATGTGCACCAATAAAGATCTCTTTATTTCTACCCAAAAAAGCCATCATGCATGTGCTTAGTTAATTAATCGCTTATACTCCATTATGTATTGGGGTCATGTGTCTTCCATGCCTGAGTCATAATTAAGAAAAATATCAAAATTATACATTTTAAAGACACGCCTTTTTTCAAACATGAAATGTTTTGTGGGAAGGAGGAAGTATAAAAAAATTTCTTGGCCTTGCCCCTACTTGTAACTTGAAAGGATGATTTAAATAAAAAAAATTAGAGACAATAAATAAAAAACTATTTATTTAAATAGAAATAGGCCAAACTAGGAATAAAACATGTAACAAGTACTAAATACTTTGTAAAAATTTATATTCTTTTATTTCAAAATATAAGTACAATGACAATATATAGTTCTAAAAAATTGAAAAATACTATAAAACATTGCTACTCACTATATAATGACATGGAGTGATAGTGCAAACTTCGATTTTAAGATAAATATTTATTGAGTATTTTATTCTTATTCAAGGTAAAAAGTTTTATTTAGGTAATAATTAAGTTTATAAACTAAGAATAAAAGTCATTATTGCAAGGGATCAGATTATCATGCACCCATTCATTTATTACTCCGTATTTTATGAAATTAATTTCTAAATAAGGATTATATGAACTATTTACCTTCCTTAAAATATTATCTCCCAGATTAATTTTCTTTCAATTCCATTCCGGAGTTTCCAATCTTAAATCATCCAAAATAATTTCAATATTAAAATCAAATAATGGGGTTGAAATCTTTGTTCTGCAAGAAGAAGCGGCTGGCGAGCGGCGGCGGCGGCGGCGATCAGGCCGCGGCGGAGGCCACAACCCCGAGAATGTCGTCGTTCCGCAGCCGGGCGCGCGTGGAGGAGGAGCTGGAGCAGGTGTTCAAGAAGTTCGACGCGAACGGCGACGGGAAGATCTCGGCGTCGGAGCTCGGGTCGATCATGTCCAGCCTCGGCCACGCGGCGGCGGAGGAGGAGGTGGACGCCATGATCCGGGAGGTGGACGCCGACGGCGACGGGTTCATCGATCTCCGGGAGTTCATCGAGCTCAACACGAAAGACGTCGGCGCCGACGAGGTGATGGAGAATCTCCGGGACGCCTTCTCCGTGTTTGACGCCGACAAGAACGGATCGATCTCCGCGGAGGAGCTCCAGAACGTCTTGCGGAGCATCGGCGAGGAATGCTCTCTCGCGGAGTGCCGGAAAATGATCAGCGGCGTCGACCGCGACGGCGACGGGATGATCGATTTCGACGAGTTTAAGGTCATGATGTTGACCGGGTCCCACTTCGATTTCGCCAATTCAAACTCTGGGTAAATTAGTTGGCTATGTCATATTTTTCCCATTGTTTTTGTCCAGTTTTGACTTTTGGAACTGTTCATCTAAGCACTTTGACTCATCAAATTCTCTCAATGTGTAAGCCTAAAAATAGTCATGTGTGATCTTGTTTGATTCGGCTTAACATATAAATTATTAATACGGAGTATATAATTTTTATAATTTTTTAATATACAAATTACAAGATAAAATGGATTAAAGAAGTGCATTAGATGGTGTACCAAAAATTAAGTAGACAAAGACAGTGGGACGAATGGAGTATTTCCTAGTTATAAATTTGAATTTTCTTGTTACTTATGTTTTGGTTTCTAATACTCTAATTACAAATTTCTTGTATCTTTTCTTGCTCTTATTAGGAGAAATACATCGACTTTTTTTTAAAGATGGTTATGTATTTCATGATGTTCTCATTTAATTTGTATATCAAGAGCAATGTAACTTAATTTTGATCTTTAATTAAATTGACTTTTGATTTGCACGTCATAAGTAAGAATCTGAACCAGGTCGTATCAGCTTTGAATATTGTTTACGATTTACAAATTGAGTGCTCCAAATCGAGTGTCATATTATTTCCTAATTTTTTATGAAAAATAATCAAACTGTGCATGTTTAGAGCTTGTATTTTCTTCTTAAAGAAGTTTCAAGCTTCCATTAATGGCCTTTGAACCTAAATCATGTACCGTGTATAACCTCCCATATCAATAAAAATTTCGCATTGGCAAGGTACGACAAAAAAGGTGCGTAGTTTTCCTTTGATTAGGTTTCCACGTCAAAATCCCCGCATTTGTATTTTGGTGTATTTTGTTAAACTAATTTATCGTTTTTCCGGCTAAGAAAGAGATTGCGGTCGATACAATTTACACCATCAATGGGAAAATTATTTCCGGACGAATTAGAATGGAAAGATTATTTCTTGACGGTGGAAGTAACTAAAATATAATACTTTCTCTGTCTCGAAATATATTACAATCTTTTTTTCCTTTCTCTCGATATTTTTTGTTTATTAATGTATTTGTATTAAATATTTGATAAAATAAAATATTTTTGTGATCTCTCGTTTTGTAGAACTTTTGACGTGATCTTTTAATATTAAATTTTTATTTTTTATTGATATATCAATTTATAAATAAAATAATTTCAAAAGGGAAAAGATTTTTTTCTCGTAACTCATTACAAATTAGGAACGTAAGAAGTTGTAACGTCTCGAAATATACTTTAGAACTTTATAACAATTTTTTAATAAATCATATTTTTAATTTTCATTTAAATTAAATAAATGTCCAAATGAAAAGCTAAATAAGATATTTTAAAATATTCTTTTTATCGTCCAAGTTTATGCTCAAATTGAAGGTCTCAAGTCTCAACGAAACAAGTTCAACAACATGTCTCACGTGTGAATCTGAGTTGGGAAGGTTAAGTGTTTGATTGTCCGACACTGAAAAGATTAAAATGTAAATGAATAAAATAACAATATAACGTAAAAATAGTACTCCAACGAAATTTGAGTTTTTAGATAGGTCTCGTGAAAAAGTAATCAACATGATGTTGTTTGTTAAGTTTAAAATTTTGTGTGAAGTATTATAAGTGAAATTACAGTTTATTAAATAAATACTGAGTATAAAAAATTTTTAAAAAATAATACTCCCTCCGTCCTATAATGATCTTCCTGGTTCATTTTACGGTGTAAAAGTTTGATCGACTTTATTTCAATTCAAGTTTAAAAACTACATCAAAAGTTCTACAAAACAAGTGGTAACAAAACTATATTATTTTATCATTTACCTAATGAAAATAGGTAATGAAAGTGATTAAAGTTTGACCGTGTAAAAAGTAAAAGTGTGTGGGAAGAACATTATAGGACGGAGAAATATTAATAAAAATATTAGAATGGTAACTCCCTCCTTCCTTCAGATCCTAAAACCATAAGGAGTTCCTAAATCCTAATTGAGGATACCCAAGCCCTTTATAATTGAGCCGCACCTTCCTCGCCAAATCAGTTCTTCGTTGCCGTCCGAGAAGAGCCGCTGGGCCGCCGCCGTCCGAGATTGCCGGAGTTTTCTTCCCAATTTATTAGTGAAACCAGACCGGTAAGCATCACCGGGGATTCACCGGAGTTTCAAGGCGAAATTGATAAATTTGTTTATTTAAATTACTTGGTGTGAAAAGAACAGTCTTTCCGGCGTCGTCTGCAATGGAAGCTTCGGCGAAAACCCATCAAAACAAGAAGCAGAAGATCGGTGAAGCTTCCCATGAGGATAGAGAAGATTTGGGTTCCTCCTCAGGTATGTCTAATCTATCTCCCTGTAAAAATTCCAGGTCAATTTGTATTTAGATTTGGGAGAGCCTTCTAAGCTCGAAAAATCACATCTTTATTGTTCTATCACTGTTGGGTGGCACTAAAAGGTGCTTCTTTTGCTGCCTCTTATTAGTAATCAGTTGCCAAGTAATTCTTTTTTGTTTCGAAATCTGTTTTAGTGAGGATATATAGATCTTCTTGGAGAGGACTAGGATGTTTTTGACTGTCAGAATGGTTAATTTAATACATTATGGACAGTATTTAGAAGATAGAAGGCTAGTGAATAGAGATGAGAGATCTTGAAGTCAAGCTTTTGGGGGCTCGAGAGGGCCCTAAGAACAATGACCTAGCTATTAGAAATCAACCTGAAAAATGTTAATATGATGTAATATAATAATGGTTTATTACAAAAACAATTTATTTTACATCACACATAATTATATTGATATAGAATATGGCTTTGTTTGGTAACAGCGTTTTGGATAAAATTTTAACGGTGCAGATTAATTCTGAAAACGCTAACGCTAAAGGCTACCGTCAGATAACTTTTTCAAAACGCTAACGCTAATCCTGATGCCAAACGGAGCCTATATGCAATTAATTATTATTAATGAGTGCACTCTAGAGCTCATGAACCGAGCTTTGCCCCGTTCGGGCTGACTGGGTTAATACAACAAGCGTAAATATGTGTCCAACTCAAATCTTTTGGCACCCGCTTTGACCAAGTCAGCTCTCGAGCGCTTTGGCTTGTTTGTGGGCTCTATCTTCAGCCTTAGATTTTTTTATGGCGTTCTATGCCTTAGTCCTTCACCATCTGTTCTGTACTTGTCATAATGAGCTGTAGAAGGCTGGTTCAAAGCACCAAAAACCTTACTTTGTTGGTTCCCTTTATCCTTCATTGTTAATTAGTTTAATTCGTAGTTCGTTCAAGTCATAATTTGGACAAACTGTTTCAAAGAGCACAATTTGTTTGATTCTCATCAGACATGATAATTGGTGATGGATTGAGATTGTCTTATATAGACATTGTTAGAGTTATCCCCTCTCGATAAGAACGTCTAATACTAGTGTAAAAAGATATGGGCTTAATGATGACCCTTGGTGTAATCTTACACCGATAGGGAATTCCACTGTTATCCCAATTTGACTTCTCACGCTCGTTCAAGAACCATCGTACATGCTTTTAATCGCATGAATATAAGCAATCCTTACTCCTTTTTTTTCTCTAGCACCTTCCACAAAACCTCTCTTGGTACCCATGTCATATGCCTTTTCCAAATCAATAAAAGCCATGTGTAGATCTTTCTTTTCACTTCAGTACCTCTCCATCATTCTTCTCACCAAGTATATAGCCTCTGTAGTCGATCTTCCTGGCATATAACCAAATTGGTTTTCTACCACCAAAGTCTCTTGTCTCAACCTCCGTTCAACCACTCTTTCAGTCTTTCCAATTACTTCATCGCATGACTCATAAGTTTGATCCCTCTCTAGTTTCCACAACTCTAAATATCTCCCTTATTCTTGTAAATAAGGGCCAAAATGCTCTTCCTCCATTCATTAAGCATCTTCTTAGATCTTAAAATTTTGTTAAAAAGCTTAGTTAGCCACCAAATGCCTTTTCTTCCTAAACCTTTCCAAATTTCAATCTGAATGTTGTCTGGGCCACTCTCTGCTATTCTTCATTTGTTTTAGGGTTTCCTTAACTTCAGTTTCTTGAATTCTTCGATAATAGTTGAAATTATGGTCCTCCTCCCTTGTGTGTAACCGATCGGAGCATGAGAGATTCACATGCTCCTCATTAAATATATCATTGAAGTATCTCTTCCACCGGTCGTTTATGCTTTCATCGAAAACCAAAACTTCACCATTCTTAACTTTAATGCACTTTACTTGGTCCAAATCCCGCATCTTTCTTTCTTGGCCCTTTTCAATCTTGTAAATACACCTTTCCCCTTCTTTCATACCCAAGGACTGGTAAAACCCTTCATATGCTCTCATTTTTGCTTCAATTACAGCCATTTTTGTCTCCGTCTTAGCTGTCTTATACTTTTCCCAACTTTGCGCATTCCGATTTTTGATATAAAGACCACTCCTTGAAACTCCTGCTTTATCTTTACCTTCTCTTGCACACTAGTGTCCCACCACCATGATTCTTTGTCTCTTGCATTAGTACCTTCAGTCTCTTGCCACCTTTCTAATAATATCTACCATATCAGACCATAACTCTTCCGCAGTTCCATGTCTATCCTATTTTGCTTCTTCTACTGAACAACTTTGGAAATCCATTTTCTTATCACCCTTCAACTGCCACCATCTAGTCCTTAGGTTCTCCTCTTGGCGACTTCTCCTTACCTTTCGTTGGATACGAAAATCCATAACTAGCACTCTATGTTGGGTGGTCAAACTCTCTCCAGGAATAATTGTGCAATTAGTACAAAATTTTCGATCCGATTTCCTTACCAGAAAGAAATCAATTTGAGAGCATGTCTTCCCACTCTTATAAGATATAAGATTCGGTTTCCTTAGCGATGTCACATTATGACCGGAATTATATGGTTCCACATTTTATATTTCTCCATTAATACTTGTCTAGCAGTTCTATATCTACCAACATTGCTTGTTCCTACAGATGACAGGCATGTAATTCAAGCAGATTTCATTTATTGCCTCGTGAGCATGAAGAAGACACAGAGGGATAGTTCAAATAATCGAAGTGAAGAATATTGTGATGTATTTCCTCAACCTTTTTCTAGGTCACTAATCGAGTTGAAAGACGGAACCTATTCCCATAATTCCTCTGCACGTGCTTGTTGTGTTCTGATGCTTGATGCGTTGGTCCAGAGGCAAGAAAATGATGAAAGGGCAGTAACTTATCGTTATGTCAATTTCAGATGTGAACCTCATGAGCAACATGGAATGGTTGCCTTTGTGGAAGTTGATCTATTGGGACTTCATTCAAGCCAAATTGGTAAAGGTAAAATTTGTCATCTCTCGTTGCTGTATTTGCTCCTTTAATTGCTTGAAACTTCTTGTGGTTACAGTAGTTGATGAAATTTAGATGTGTTCTTAATTGTTGCTCCTAGAGTAGCTGACTTTGATGTCATAGTTTCAAAATGGACTCTTCAGTTTCCCAGATCAAAACATGTAAATATACCAACACAAAAACATCGATTTAGTCCAAACAAAAAGTCCAATGTCGCGAAGACATTGGGATGGAGGGAGTATTAATAGATTCCAGGACATATATTTATTAATTGTGGATCCGGTGGTCCATCCATGGACCCACTGGTTGAACCAGGGACTCGATCCTTTTGCTAGTTGATACAGACTGTGAATCAGTGATGTCTAATAAAGAGGGTCTTAACCACAAAATCAACAAAGAGGATTTTCTAGCTAAACTAGACGGAACAAATGTCCCTATACTAGGAAATTTTCAAGCTAAACTTGATGGATGTTAATCCTCGATCTTAAGGCAGCAGATTAAGAGAAAACAAACCTTTAGATTTAATTGAAGAAAATGATGTCTCAATTAAAAATAAAAGACCAATTTATAGAATAGCAATCCTAATCGTAGTAAAAAAAATATTAAGTCAAAAGAATTCTATTCTAGTAAGGACAACAAATACAACAACAACAACAAAGCCTTATCCCACTAGGTGGGATCGGCTACATGGATCAAATGACTCCATTGCGACTATCATGCACCATATTGCAGTGAGATCATTCACGCGAATCCCCCCCCTCCGCCCCGACTACTTCATGCCAAGTCTTCTTAGGTCTACCTCTTTCTCTAGCCATTTGTCTATTCACCGTTTGATCAACCCTTCTCACCGGGTGTTTTATTGGTCTTCTCTACATGTTTAAACCATCTAAGATGAGTTTCCTCCATCTTTTCTACAATAGGTTCCACTCCAACTTTACTCTTATATTTTCATTCCTTATTCTATCCATACGTGTATGACCGCTCATTCATTGTAGCATCTTCATTTCAGCCACACTAGCCTTGTGTTCATGTTCACGTTTGCTGCCCAACACTCTAATCGCAGTAAGGTAACATTTTCCATTTAGTTTTAAAGGTACTTTTTTTTGTCATATGTAAAGCCCAAAGCACTCCACCATTTGACCAACCGGCTTGAATCCTATGGTTAACATCACCCTATATTTCTCCATTGTCTTGACTAATACACCCAAGATTTCTAGGAGAAGATAAATAGCAAAGTCAAATCAATCTTGTTTCTTCCTGCATCCCGGCTTCCGCCCTCAGGGAGTCTATTCGGTCGGCTTAGGAATGACCTCATCACTAGTTCAATGTCCCATCTGCTTTAAAGATCAATCGCTGAATTGGTAGCTAATAAGTCCATCAATGTATTGTTTCCGTAATTTGATATAATATTAAATTTTTTGATATTAAATTTATAGCACAATTCAATGTATTGTTTCCGTAATTTGTAATCAAAGTTTAAAAACGTTGACCATGAACGTCAAACTGGGAAGAATCAAAGTGGACGGAGGAAGTATTACATAGTTTGGTTGCTAAACTTTCTCTTCTACTCTGCATTTTAAAAGTAGTTATTTTCTTTTTCCATTTTGCTTCCTTGGAGTTTGGATCTTGCTTCTAGCAGATGTAGTGAGGAGTCAATTGATGATATTGATTTAGTGTTTGTTATCTCTCTTATGTTATTTTGAACATTCAATCTTCACATCTGACCATGGGATATGTTACAGGTGGGAGAATGAACTTCAAGATTCTTGTGAAAATAATAGAGGTAAGACTCGACTACCAAAAAGAAAAAAAGAACTTTCTTAACTGTGATTTCCTATCCCAATTTTTTTGACTCTGCAAGTATTTCTTTAAGTCTATGGAGATTCCTTATCGCTCATGGGGGCCTGCTTAACTGTTGATTTATACTCATGGCACACTGGAAAAAAAATGTTATTTTTAGACCTTGATTCTGGCGGTTGAAGAGAGTTTGTCTTTTCTTCTCAGGCCTTCATTTTAACTGGGAAAAACTATGACTCGTGAACTTATTTTATATGCAAATAATTGAAACAATGTAATCCGCAATAAAGATCTGCTAGTCATTTTTGTTATGAACTCGTGAGATTACACATTGTTCTCACAAACATTAAAATGGTTAATCAGGAGCCAGGAATCTTTTTTGCATTTGGTTCTGCTGAAAATTATGGATGGGCTTTGCAACCCAGTCTCAATCGAAAGTATTTCTATTTTAGAGGTAAGAAACGTGTCCTTTGAATATTGATATTTATGCACATTGTGCTCTTTAGAGCAGTCTTCTGGATTTTTTGGAACCTGATTTTTTCTACATTTTCCATCAGGCTTGCCGCTTCGCAGACTGGCTAAGCATGCAGTTCCTACTAAGCCACTGCCACACGTCTTGGATTCACCTGTGGAAGCACATTTCATGAGGGTGAATGGCAGAAAACAGCAAGGGGATTGGTCGTCCCTCCCGGCGCTTCCCCTATTGATGATAATGGATAGACTAGACATATTTGACAGCAAACGCCTCACTGCTGTGTGTAGAGATTGGCGGGATACGTCGTTGCGGTATCCCAAAAACATGCATTCGGTCGGGGACGGGGTGCCCTGGATTTGGCATGCGAAACATGGAAAAGAAAGCCGTTCACGTGAATTCATCTGTGTCCCCGACGGGAATCGCAAGTTCCAGGTCGACATGCCCGAATTCGCTCATTCTACACTCCTATTCTCAAAAGGAGGCTGGATTCTTCTCCTGCGCCAAAACGGCGGCGTTGGCTTTCCTATTTTGTTTCTGGTGAACCCTTTCACGAGGGATAAAATTGAATTGCCAAAGAGAGAAGAAGGCAGCAAAAACACAAAGTGTTATGGCTCATTTACGCTGCGCGACTCCGACGGTTATCCTAACCGCGTCATCCTCATTACCCCAGAGCTTCCTTTTCAGGCAAGCATTCATACGGCGCGTCCTGGGGATGATGAAGTGTGGGCCAGCCATGATTACACCGGACTGGAGAGGACGTTTCTAACAAGCTTTATCCATGTCACGATCGGAGACAACGTGTATTGCCAAGACCCTTATGGCTACATATCAATTTTCAACGTGGCTAACAACTCAGTGAGGGTTTTACCGCCGGTGCCGTCTGGAGGTTTCATTTCAGAGCATGGGGGGGAGTTGATTTTCGTGGAGCACGGCACGAGTGTGGAGAGGAAATACAGGTCATTTGTTCTGGTGCACAAGTACAACGGCGAGTCCTCCTCGTGGGAGAGGCTGAGCCGCGGCGCAGTGATGGGCACGGCTTGGTATCTGTGCAATGGACAGCCGGTTGTTGCTGCGGCGAAGGGAGGAAGAAGAAGGGGTCTGGAGATTTACAAGCTTGTTCAGAGAATGGAATGGTCCAGGTTGGGGGTGAGGTCGCGTCACAAGTGTACTCATTATGATGTTTGTGTCACCGATTTGCTAACAGGGGAACGAACAACATTCCGCCTTCCACTTGCCGATCACAAGTCTCTTCTCTGGGTGGCCATCGGATGATCGGCCGGCTCACTGTACACTCGTACATATATAATACTTGGATATTATTACTCCTCTGGTCTCAAACTAACTAAATTGTCTTTTGACTATTCAAATGGTCAAATTTTATTTATTTATTTTTTCTAATTTTTATTAGTTATTTAATAAAGTAATATAGTCATGTCGCTTATAGTGCTGTAAATCTTTTGATGTAGTTTTTAAACACTCCGGAGTATGTGATTTTTATTTTTTAATTCTATGTCATTTTTTTTTCTAGAAATGTTTCTTTGTTGTTTGTTCTTCGATCATCTAATCTGGTGGCTCATGAGTTGGCTAAGAGGGTTAGGGTGGAGATTGTTGTGTGGTTTGTTATTTCACCAGATTTTGTAATGCCATTTTGAATGAATGCGAAGTTTTTGCTTTCACAAAAATAGTAATTTGAGCCCGAAATGATGCTTTAAAATTATGCAAGGACTTGTTGGGAGGAATTCGGCTCCGTCAGATTGATACAGAAATTGCAGAATTTTGAGCTGGGATAGTTTGTAAATCAACACACTGAAATATGATGCTATAGCAGAAGATTTTAAACGTGCTCAAATGTGAACAGAGCAAATCAAAGTTTTTAAAAAACAGAAGGGATGCTTTTGAAAACATAAATCTCAAATAACTGAAGAAGGAGAAAGTGTTAGTGAAATGTTGATGACATTGAAAAATATAGAAATATTTCAAATCTTGCAAACCAGGTTCATTTAGAGAGTTACATCTCTCTCTCTCTGTCATTGGAATCCTATATACAATAGAAAGACGAGAAACATAAAGAAGTTTACCAAATATGCAGATCGACTCTAGGAGGAGAACGAACCAGATTGAGTAAGAGGGTATGGTGATATTTTATGTCCAGATGAGCCCAGAAGATGATACAGAGAAAGAGAGGGATATATGTACTGTTATGTCAGTATGGGAGCATTACGTATAACCCCAGGCCTCCTAAAAGACATTAACATGGGCTTGATTAAATGACAATCTCCTCCCTGTCATGGCTCATAATGCCGGATGAAGCAGCAGACACAGTCACACGGTGGCACTGGTCCATCAGCTGCAGCTGCAGTAGAGACTGGACACACCTTGAGTGCCGTCATGCGCTGTTCTCCTTGAAAAATTCTTGCACACTCAACATTTTCCCTCTCACCATATGATCCACCTGCTGCAAATATCATGTTCCTCTCCTCTGTCCATGCAGCCGGAAGAACCTTCCCTCCAAACATGTTTGCTGTGTAAACAACTTTATCAAGAGGGAAGACATGGTCAGGGAGATGATTTAGGGTCTGCGCCTTAGTATCAACATGCATTATTTTGTATTGGCCTTGTGGCGCAATCATGAATAGGTATAAATCTTCTCCATCTTCAACAAAAGAAAAATGGGTATATAATAGGTCGAATTCATCTGTGAGATCGTACTGAAAATCCATAACATGATAAGTGAAGCAAGCGTACTGAAAACCACAGAGTATATGGAGCCTCTCTCCGTGAAGGATCATAGCATACAATGGATATTGGTCTTCACTATCATCTGGCAAGTCAGCTACGATTTTGAACTCTAACTCTACACAAATCCACCCATTTCTTTCAGTATATTGGCGTGCCCTAATGAAATGATTGTTCATAGAAAATTGATCTAATATCAAGGTGATGCAGTCAGTAGAACCTGGAGTCCCGGTCCAGGTTCCCATCACATCTGAGCCAATCTCAACATCATCGTAGGGAGGAAGATAAATCTTTGCTCCAGTTTTAAGATCAAGGTATACATAACCAAGCCGAGGGTCTACATACAAAATCATTCCTTCAAAATTTGCTCCAATGACCCTCAAAGACTGGTTGCGAGAACACTCCACCCAGTTTCTGACATTATAAACCCTAAGCTTGGGGTTGTCTCCATTAAATTCTTCATAGTCGTCATTTTGCTGCCGATTTTGATTCAACTCCCGTACATTTATGTTTCCAATTTCTTCGGGCGGTTCATATACTGCCAGCAAAGTAATTGGAAAGCCACATGTGTTTGGTTGCTGGAACATGTAAGAGTGGCTTCCATCTGCAAAATGAACGCACCAAATTTATGAGATCAAAATGATATCCAGAATTTTCCAAAGTTCATTTTCACCACTGATCACTAGTTAAAGGGTCTTTGCTGTATACCTTGTGGTGAGGCACAGATCATGGTCCATTTCGTGTTGGCGACTCCACTGCTGGGAACCTGAAGATCTCTCAAACAGGCAGACTTCGAGACACGCTTCTCCACACTAGAACTAGTAAGAAATAGAAGAAAGTCACTGATATGCTTCTCCAGCTGCAGGAACATGTAAGGGCAGGTTTCATCTGCAAAATGAATGCATAAAATTATCACATCAAAATTATTTCCATGAGTTTTCCAAAGTTCAATTTTACCACTGACCACTAGTTATAGGTATTTACTGTATACCTTGTGCTGAAGCAAAGAGCTTATCAAACTTTGTGTTGGCGACTCCAGTGCTGGGAACCTGAAGATCTCTCAAACAGGCAGACTTCAAGACACATTCCTCCATGACAAATCTAGTAAGAAATAAAAGAAAGTCACTGATATGCTTCTTCAGCTGCTGGAACATGTAAGAGTGGGTTCCATCTGCAAAATGAATGCATAAAAATATAAAATTATCACATCAAAATGATATCCAAGATTTTATAACTGATCACTAGTAATAGGTCTTTGCTGTATACCTTTCGCTGAAGCATAGAGCTTAATCCACTTCGTGTTGACGAATCCAGTGCTGGGAACTTGAATATCTCTCAAACAGGCAGACTTCAAGACACACTCCTCGATGATAAAACTAGTAAGAGATAAAAGGAAGCCACTGATATGCTTCTCCAGCTGCTGCAACGTGTAAGAGTGGCTTCCATCTGTGAAATGTATGCACAATATTATCAGATTCCAAGGATTTTCCAAAAGGTCAATTTCACCATTGATCACTAGTTATAGGGTCTTAGTTGTATACCTTGTGCCGAAGCATAGAGCTTGATCCATTTTGCACTGACGTCTCCAGTGTTGGGAACCTGAATATCTCTCAAACAGTCAGCCTTCAAGACACACTCCTCGATGATAAAACTAGTAAGAAATAAAAGGAAGCCACTGATATGCTTCTCCAGCTGCTGGACAATGTAGGACTGGCTTCCATCTGCATAATGAATGCACCAGATTATCAAATCAAAATAATGCACAGGATTTTTTTAAAATTTTAATTTCACAACTGATCACTAGCGAGTTACGAGGTCTTTGATGTATACCTTGCGTTGAAGCATAGAGCTTGATCAATTTTGAGTTGACGTCTCCAGTGCTATAAACCTGAAGATCTCTCGAATTGGCAGACTTCGAGGCACACTCCTCAATGATAGAACTAGTAAGAAATCGAAGAAAGACACTGATATGCTTCTCCAACAAAGAGATTCAAATAAGCAGGTCGATGTTTCAAATTAATCTGAAATGAACTAAACCTAACTTCCTACCATAGATTCACCAGTTACGATATAATCTAGAAACCAGAGAAGCGAAAATGAAAGTGAAACCAGTATCAATCAGAAGCTGAATCACGACGGACAAATAAAGTGTATGGTGTCAGATAAGCTTCCGATGCTTCGCATATACCAAAGTTTCATCGGAAAAGCTACAGGACGCTGAATTTACAGACTCACTATCTACAGTTTCAATTCGAAATCGACCTTGCAATTAGACATCGTACGCAGAGAGAGAGAGAGAGAGAGAGAGGTCGAACCAGAGGAATGATGACGGAGGAGGGAGATAGTTGCGTCGAGGAGAGACGCAGCCGGTGAATGAACTGGCTCGAATCTCAGGTTTTTCCATGGCGTTCTGCTTCGGATTCTCTTCCTGCAACACCAGAAATTCTCTGCGCGTCTGAGAATGTGGGGGATGGAGGTGCGTTTGGAGATGAAGATTGTTCTCTTCTCAAATAGACGCGGGAAAAAGGTGGTGATGGAGCTTTTTCGGGAAGGAAGAAGAGAAATAACGGGTTCAGGCGGGCAAAAACAAATCTGGTCACCATAACCAATGTTTTTAAAACCGAGAATGACTCAAGCTAATAGCCTAATCGGTCGAACAGGTTAACTCGCTAGTCGCTATGATCCGTCAAATATAAGGATGTACCCAATTTGTACACCACAGTTATACACAAACATTTTGATGTTTTATACCAACACAAGGGTTGGTGTGTTAACAAAAATTTACACAGACACAAAATATCGATGCATTAACAAAAACTAGTTTTACACCAACACAAAGTGTTAGTGCAAAGCTACAGGGTACAAAATGGGATACAAAACATGGGGTACAAATAACTTTATCCATGTAATTAATACTCCATAATATTTTACTTCTTCCGCCCCAATTTAAATCGCTTGTTTTGAATTTTAGGTATATTTTAGGAAAATAAAAAATAAAGTTGATTTTCTAACATTGTCATTGCTTTTTAGAAGGGTGATGATGAATGAGAAGATAAGATGAAGAAGAGTGACTTATTTTAGAAGTAATTTAGGTATTTTATTTTTAAAAGTTTACGAAAACAACTGATATGCACATATTTTATACACTTTTTAGGCATATTTTGAAGGAGTATTGAGTCCCAATTGAAATTTTGTTTATATTTTATTTCAATTTTCCGTTTTATTTTGGAGAGCAGTCCTATGCTTGGTTTTATATGTTTTGCAAATATTTTGAGGCCATTTGGACGCATTGAGAACAATTTCAAGAACGGAAAATAAACATCGAAGTTTGGAACCAAAATAAATGGAAGAGATTTTAAGGAAAGAAGGAATTAAACAAAAATAAAGCATAAAAAAGGCGCAAGCAGCTTCATTTCCATGTGCGCTACTGTGCTTGTATTGACTTTAAGTGAGACTGTTTGTATATATGCCGTATATACGAATTCATCTATAAAAACCCAACCCTTCTCTTCTTCAAAGAGGTTAGAACCCCCCATTTCTCTCCTCTCTCCAATCCGAAATTCTCCTCCTCCATCACTAATATCTCACCACTTTCTTCATCCAAACACATAATAATTACTCCATCTTCATCATCATTTATCATATTTGGAGCTCAAGAACACATCTTTCATTTTGTAAGATTTTTATTATTGTAATAAATATTTATTTGTTTAAGCTTCAAATTATGAACTTCTAAATTCCATTGGGATTAGAAGTTGGTGTAATTAATTGTCCATCTTAATGTTTTGAATATTTTTAACATGGATTGTTGATTTTATTTTTACTTAGATGTTGTATTTAAAAATAAATAAATTTGAAATTTTTGTGATTTTTAATTAAGGGCCCAATCATAAACATAATTGTTACAAGGAATATGAGCTAAAATTTATATAATCATAAAATAGAACACTTTTTAAATACACCGTAAGCCTTCTCTACCTTTAACCGGGATTGAAGACTTACGGGTGGAAATAATACACCGTAAGCCTTCTCTACCTTCGAAGAGTTAGGTGAACCCGACCCAATATCCAAACTGATACTTTGTAAATAAGCAAATTTAGAGATAGCAAATCTGTCGAACAGGTCAGTCGGTCATTTTGGATTCGGATTACTTCGAGTTCGGATTAAAAATTACATGTTCGTGATCCATTATTACCGGGTTCGTGTTAACCCAAAGAGTAATGAGTTTCTCTTTTTTTTTGGAAATTTTAAGTAATTTTATGACCAGTGTCAATATTATAAATAAAAAATTTAAATATGTAGAAATTTTGAAAAAATATAAGATAATTATGCGATATTATTAAAATTTTGTATGAAAATACAAATTTATACACCAAAATCGAGTACAGTAATAAGCAAGGAAATATAATTATAATCTTATTATTAAAGCATTATATTTCATATTAAAATATATGATTTTGAAAAAATCTTACGTTAACAAGTCGGTCAGATCATGTTCTGGTTCGGTCATGTTTGATCCATTTTTAGCGGGTTATTTTTTATTCGATCAACTTCAGATTCGGTTAGCAAAATCTCTGTTCAAAATCCAGTATTTTTGAGTCAGGTCGCAGGTCAAAAACAGTTCAAATCATTTTTTGTCAGGTTTAGACACATTTCCAATCCTTTTTTGTTTAAAGAAAAAGAGTATATAATCAATTGCGAAAATATAGATTCATTATTCATCATTAAGTTAAGAAAGTGCAAACAAATACTATAGAGTATATTGTAATTGAGTTAATAATAATTTAAAAAAATAGAGACTTTATTTTTCAAGTGTATAAAAATCAATGTCATAAAACTTTTTAGGATTTAGAAAATTGTTAGTGCGAGCCTACACTTTCCAGTTCGGTTTATGAGCCTCTATTAAAATTCTCAAGCATTCTAAATGAATCCCAATTGGACGATTACATACAATAACCGACACTAAATTACCAACAAGTAATACATGAAAATGGGTCTGTGTATGTGATTTTATCTACCGAGGCAGATTGAAATTTGTCAAACGTTTTATCCTTGTTTGGGATTAACATGTTTAACGAGAGATAACGTTTTAGATAATCTTTGTTACCATTATATAACAACTTTAAAATATCAAACAAAATTTACCTAAATAAAATCAAAACATAATGACTTCTTTAATATAGGACCATATATTTTTATGTTCAATGTATGACCATTGATCGTTATCTTTTAGTCATTATTAAATAATATTTCCTCCGTTTCTCAAAAGAGTTCTTCTTTTGACTTTGTGAGAAAAATAAGGAAGCGTTAAATTGTACGGAGTAGTTGAATTTCTAATTTTCCCCTTGAAGTGATGGGTAAAAATAAGATCTGATAGTTTAGTTGTTAGTAAAAAAATATGATGCGATAGGTAGGGTATGAAAAAGTAGGGGTAAAAGTAGTTTTTTAATAAAAAAGAGAAGTGTTTTAAGAAAAACAAAAAAAAGAAAGAGGGGTTTTAAAAAACAGAGGGAGTACTACTCCGTAGGGGTGTAAACGAACCGAATCGAAGCGAATACCGATATATTTGAATTTGTATTTGTTTAATTTTTTCGAATACGAATCCGAATCCGAATATGAGACGAATTCAAAATAAGATTTGAATAAGTATTTGATTAATATTCGAATAGTTATCGAATCATAAACGAATATTTGAATAATCATACTATGTAATTTATATGATGGACCAACATCAATTTGTAATTTAACTTACGATACTCTTTATACTATACTATATTCCGTATATAAAAATATTAATACATTTGCATCTTACACAAATTATATTTTATAAAATACGGAGTATAACTATTAAAAATCATATGCTTTAGATTTTCGTGTTACGTTAATTTATTGAATTCATAGTATTTTAAATACACTTTATACTATATTGCTTTGTTTGACTTTTGATGTTGAAAACATGGTCTGTGTATATATACATATATTCGAATATTCGAATATCATCCGAATCGAATATGTCCCTATTTGTATTTGTATTTGATTAATATTTGAATCAAAAATAATATTTGAATTTGAATTTGTATTTGAATAACGCGAATTCGAATCATCATATTCGAATACGAATCGCGAATCGAATTTAAAATATTTGATTTGTTTACATCCCTAGTATTCCGTATTTAAGAAATACTTCCTCCGTCCCACTATAGATTACAATATTCCCTTTTAGTTAAAATTAAGGAAGAGTCAAATCAAATTTTTTTTCTCCAAATTACCCTCAAATCCCCCCAAATAGTGTGAATAGTGGCTGGCAAAAAAGAAAAGGGGAAGGTAAAAGAGTCAAATCAATATAAAGTTATTGACTTTGTAATCCTTTTTGGGACAAAAATGTGAGGGAATATTGTAATTTATTTCGGGACAAAGGGATTAAAAAAAATTTAAGTCTTACATTAAATAATGACTTATGATTTAGTACTATTTAGTTCAAATTTTAGTAAAGATCTTAAAAATGTGGTTACCCAACACCAAAGTGCCAATTTCCAAATTAACAAAGTCTTAATATGGCCTCTCCCCAACATAATTCCCAGGCGGGTAATAATTACACGTCACGAACACATCACCGTCGTCACAAACAGCCCTAACGCACCCAACCCTCCAACTCTTCCTCCACACGATCTGAGTGTAATGCCCGCAGACCCGGCCTTGCGCGCACGCGTTGGTCGCGTAGTCGTAGTCCGCCTCCTCGGCTGCCCAGGCCCTGACCGCGTCGCCCGCGGTCCACCCCTGCCCGCTGCCCCAGAAAATGTTCTCCCCGAGCTGGAACCTCCCCTCGGGGAAGGAGTGCGCCAGCTGGCAGTCCGCCCTCCTCTGCCCGGCCCACCACCTGGCGTGGTCCTCCAAGCGCGGGTCCCACACCAGCGGGGCCTCCCACTTGGAGGCCCGGACCAGGTTGTGCTAGAACAGGAACTGTATGGAGTCTCCCAGGCAGTTCCAGCACAGCTGTTTGGAGAGGTAGTAGATTGCTGTTTGGTTGATTATTGTATTATTACTCTTGTTAGGGTTTTTTGGCATGGGGGAGGATGGTGGTGATGACGTGGACGCCTGGTGAGGTGTGGAGAGAATGAGTAGGGGAAGAAGAAGAAGAAGAAGAAGAAGAAGAGAATAGATGGTTTTCATGCTTGTTTGAGCTAGCAATCAAATGTACGTCAATTATGCTCAAATTATTATTGCCATGATTTCTTGGAGGAATATAATTAATAATTGTAGTCCGTGTATATATATAGAATGAAGATACCATATGTATGGAGCTCTCAATTCAAAAATAAAAAATAATGTGATGTACATGTTGACAATGTTGTAACATACAATAAATTCTCTCCCTCCCAAATTTATTGTATTCTTTTGTAATAGCTGATATAAGTTTATTTGTAATTCAATTTATTTGAAAAACGATAAAAAAAAATTAAAATAAAATTAATACATTAAAAAATGAAATCAAGTATTCTATAAAATAAGATGTGTCATGATTATATTACATAATTTTAACAAATTATATAATCAAGGTGAGAAGACAATTAGTTTAGAAGAGAGGAACTAAAAGTACAGTGTCCATTAGACTTATGTTCTACTAATACTTTGATCCTAATCAATCAATGGATTCATGCTCCTAGACATGCGTCACATGAGTAGAGCAGATACGGTACTCTATTAAAAAAATTGATACTCCTTCCGTCAACAAATAAATTTCTCGTTTACTATTTATATGGTCAAATTTTATTTACTTTGTTGACCGATTTTCGTTACCCATTCGATAAAATAATATAGTCATATCACCTCTAGTGTTGTAAATATTTTGATATAGTTTTTAATATGCAATTTTTATTTTTAAATTTTACACTATTTTTTCATATAAAATGATTTGAAAATAAAAATTCCATTTATTTTTTCATAACTTATGATTAAAATTTAAATACTCCGTATAATGAACAAAAAAGTTATCAAACTAATCCAAAAAAAAGTTAAAAATAGATGAGCTCGTGAACTAAAAGGGGCCGCCCGTTAAGCTATGATAAGCCCGTGGATCCCCTAGATTTGTGGCATTGGGCATGCCACGTGTCCTACAACAGTTCATTCTAAATTGTGCACGTGTCAACATCAGGATATTTTTTCCCCTTCAAAAATTATCTTCTCGTTATGCGTTACGATGTTTAATTGAGATTATTTTCAAATTAATTTATATGAAAAATTATTTGAAATTAAAAAAATAAAAATTACATACGGAGTATTAAAAAACTACATCAAAAAATTTACTAAACTAGAGATGACGTGACTATATTATTTTATCAAATGAGTAAGGATAATAGTCCAACAAAGTTGATAAAATTTAACCCTGTAAATAGTGAAGGAGAAGATAATTTTTGGACGAAAAGAGCAGTGACATTCGGAGTAATTAAAAGTTAAAATGAATCCAAAAATATGACAAAATGACAAAGACATTGAGTTGATATTAATGCAGTTTTTACATAGCTTTATAATAACGTTTTTAATCAGTTAGTGTTAGTATTTTAAATAAAATGCAAAAGTTTAAATGTAGTTACATAACGTTTTTCAAGATTACTTATTGATACCTTGATGATTGTTAACTCTATCTTCTTTTCTATTGGTCTCGTTTATTATCCACATGATTAATTCAATTGAAGGACATCATCTTTTTTATTTTTTATTATTTATTTGCCAAAATCATATAATTAATCTATTTCTTGTATTATAAAAATGTTGGCGTTCGTTATTATTTTATCTTTTAATTTTGCACATAATTTTTACAAATTAAATTAAAAATACTTTTAATTAAAAATATAAATCGAAACAAGATCGATAAAACGAAATAGAGAAACTCTTGTATTAAACTTATGATAAAGTAAATCGTGTGATTAAATTTATTTATGAACTAAAATAATCAACTACATTGCAACTTTCGGTTTTTAAATTTTCCCATTGAATTTGTTTTTGGTACAAAACCATCTAATTGTGGCCACAAATACATTTCTTGTTTTGTTTTTAAATATAAAACACCATAAATATGTTTAAAAAAATAAAAATAATGCAACATAAATAAAGCCAAGACCAAGCTAAAAATTAACGTAACCCGGACTGACCCAAATATTTTAAGAATGTTAAACTTTAAACGCATGGATCACATTAAATTTACAAACTTTAATCAAGAAAAATCAAAATGAAGAACATTTCCGGACAATGGTAATAAAAAGGCAAGAAATTTGGCAATTGAAGCTCATATTTACCATATTTCTCTTGTTTAAAAAAGTCATTCCCAAAACAAAAATGGATAGAACCATTTCCATCAAACAATGCAACTGCCAAAATACTATCCTAAAAGCAAACAACTAAAATGGAATGCGCATCTATACCTCGAGAAGAACTAATCAAACACAAGAGAAAAAAAGATGCTCAAGCAAAATCAGCTGCCACATCAGCCGCCACATCACCATCTTCCTCGTCGTCCTCGACAAGTTCATCGCGAAACAGGAGCTTGAGGTGCGGAAGGACCGCCGGAAGGAGGGGAAGATCCACGGCGTTCACACTCATCATATCAAAAGCTATGCATGTCCTCTTGTGCATGTGGGATTCGTCGAAGAAAACCGGGATCTTGGGGTACCTTTGGCTGAAGTGTGTGAGGATGACGCGATACGCTCCCGCCGCGTTACCCGTCTCCACCGCCTCCTTTGTCGTGCTGTGGTTTCTCTTTATTGCCTCCTCCACCATCCCATCTTCAAATGTAGCCTGAAAAAACAAAACATAAAGCCAATGAAGATGAGCTATGCTAGGGTACACCATTCATTTGTACACCAAGACTTTTACAGACACACAGAAACTTAATGTCTGTGGACCCACATACATTGAGTGTCTGTGTGTCTCTAAAAGCCTGAGTTTGGCGTTTAGGGTTTAGGGTTTTGGATCCTGGATAAGAAATGTGTGGTGAGGACTGGGGAAGGATTGGAATACAACTTGGTGTACCTGAAGCATTTTTGAATGGAAAATGTGACTAACCTCATGTATAAGAACGGTCGCTCCACGAGAAGCTTCAATGAGATCCTTACAGGGCCGAGTGTCGCCGGAGTAAACAATCTTCCATCCGGGTATCCTCTTCCCGGCGTCATTAGTTCTATCGGCAGCTCTAAGTACAACTCCATAAGCTTGTGAGCAATGGATAACGGGGAAACTAATCAACGCTTCTAATCCTGCTTCGTTTAGTACCTCACTTAGGTTCCTTAAAATTGGGAAGGTGAAAGACGAGTTCATCGGACTGCCTGGCCTCTTCCAAAGACTCTGCATTTGGCTCCCTTTTGCAAACAAGTTAGAACCAATCTCTCCGTGTTTTAGCCCACCGGTTGCATTCCCATTTTCCGCATTCTTTTCGGGCTCATTTGGAGCCCGGGAAACACTAAGGGACAAAAAAAACAGAAGGGAAAACATATTTCATTTTTCATTGCATTTCTCAAGGTATAACGAAGCGTAAAAATTAACTTTTCTTAGCACTTCCGGTGATCCAAACATACCCTTCATGTGACTCAAAAGCCTTCAATGAAAGTTCGGTAGTATCCCTACAATCAAGGAATTGCATATCAAGATCCTCGAGGCGTTGATATGCATCAAGAAACCTCTTGAGCTGCCGAGGGCCAACGACAATTAAAGGGTCGTGAGGGACCTCTTTTAGCAATTTACGTCTAAGAGCAAGTACTCTTGCAAGGCCAGTGTGATGATCAGCATGTATATGGGATATCCAGATACACCTCAAACTCTTTACAGCTTCGTCAGCACCTTCAATGCCAAACCTGTTCCTCCATAGTTTTGCATAGTTAGGTAAGGAGACGAATGATGATGATGATGATGGTAATGCAACAACAAAATCAGTAAGTAAAAGCATATTTGAGTGGAAAATAAAACAATTAAAGAGAAGAATATACAAAAAAGGGTACCTTCGTTTAAGTTGCCCCAATGTCCCTTCACCACAATCCAAGAGAATGCCTCCCCTTGAGAAGAGATTAATGAAGATTGAACTAACATTGCGGTACTTTGAAGGTTGGGATGAACCAGTGCCAAGAAGAACAATCTCCATTTCCTCTCTTGTTATGCCTTCCAAACACGGATCTACATTGGTTCCTCCATTGCCATGGCACAACCGTGCGATGTGCTGAGAAGCTTCTTCAATCTCTGGGATTTCTGAGATTAATTCATTGATTATTTCGGGGGGAGACACCAGATTTGGTACACAAGACCTGTCTAATCCAAGCCGCGAGTAAGGCCGAAGGTAGAACTGTTCCACAAGAAATGGGATTGTCAGGAAGTAATGAGGGTGGGTAGAAAAGAGGTGGATGGAATAAGTAGGGGTATTATAGTCTTTTTTTGTGCGTTAGGTGTGTCAAATATGGAAGTGCGGCTTTAACGTTGGGACGCCCGAAATGGAAATTATGATTCCAATATAAAGAATAAACATAAACCGTACCTTGAGGAGATTCTCTGCAGAAACGGTTCCATCTACTTGTGGCACAGATCCCTGTAAAGGATAAACCATAAACCATGTCTCAGTCCACCAAGTTCATATTTGGAACCAAGGGAATGGAAAAGAAAAAGAATTGATATCGAAGCGTCTTTTTATGTTGGGTTTCATCTTGGAAAAAACCAAGGAAAGATTTGATGCGAACTTTTTAAAATTTTGCATATATTTAGGTTCCTTTCATGACATGATAAACATTTTAAAAAAATTTTAAAATGTTGTGCCCCCAGCATGGTCCATAATTTTAACTAGTTTACCTCACATGCAAACGCCGGAGCTGATGGAGACCAAAAACCAGAGGCAGGAAATAACTGGGGACACAAGTAGTTAAGTCGGGCTGCAACTCTTGCACTAGATTTCAGAATCGGAATCTCAATGTTTTTCCTGCAAAGTGTCGTACGACATTTAGGCATGAACATCCACTCAAAATGCAATCTTCAGATGCATTAGAAAGCAATTTAAAAAGGTTGAAATATGCATTTTTGTCCCATTTACAATTTTTGTTTTAGGTCAATGTAATTCTATTTGCCATATTACCATGTAACTTATGACCTTTTGTTTTTAGTCCTAAACTCCATTCCAAGCTTCCCACACAATTTTTTAAAAAGTGTTAAATATGTTACACTGCCCAGCCACGGTATATCATATTTGAACAACAAAAAAAAGAGGTCAAGCAAACTCACACTTCATGCCCAGCCATGATATGTTGGGCCCCTCCAAATCTCGACATCCATTGCTTATACGCAGACGTACTTGCAACTCTAGAAGGGCTAAGGTGAATCACGCAATTTACAAGTTTGCAGTTTTCCATAGCTTCCGGCGATTTATTTGAATAATACGGGCCTAGAGATTCTATAGAAGACAATTCCTCTAGATGAGACATGGTAGGGCAATCAACAATGAGCACAATGGGACCAGGAGCAGAAGGTCCCATCACATCCCTAGGATGAATCTGCATTTTAAAATTAAAGCATGTAGACAATGATAAGACAAAAGAACTGAAATTCAAGAAAATATCAAATTATCAATGAATCTACAATAAAACATAAATACTAATAGTCTTGAGACCTAATTAATGAAAGTTTTTCATATATAAACTAGAAAAAACCCATACCAAATACTAATACTCCAAGAAATATGATATTTTACACGAATGCTCCAAGATTGCATAATTATCACGAGTACTCACAGAAGTTCTAAATTTTTACAATAACACTTCAAGATTGCACATGGATCATAGATACACCTCAAAAATTGGGGGATCCATGTAAACAAAAAATTCTTTTGCAGTACTACTGTAAAAATATTGAATTTCTCAAGCGTTGGTGATTATTATGCAATCTTGGAGTGTGGGTGTAAGAGCTCAAATTTCTGGGAGTAATGGCGTGAATTTCTCCTCTTAACTATTCAAATGCTTACCACTATGTTTTGTCGATCTGCCTTAACTGAATTTCCGTTTTGCAATTCGCGGTATTTTGGTCCAGGTCTCAACCCAAGACCAGCAGCCTTTTCGGGGTCGAATTTCCCCATAATTTCAGGCAATTCACATATATAAACCACAGAAAGATCGCCAGGCTTCGAAGAACACTGAGATTCTGAAAAACCCTTTGTTTGATCCTCATCATTATATCTTAAAGTATTAACATCTGAAGAACCTTTTGAGTGTCTTGGTCTCACTAGAACAGATGATATTTTGACAACTTCGCTGTCAATATGAGTGTTGGGTTTTGTGGCGTCATCACCAGGTGCCGGTCCAAAGCTGTTCGTGTGAACCATTGCAGCTTTTGGGATGAATGATTTCATGGCCTCGACGAGATAGTTAAGATCTGAAGGACCCCAAACATTGACCTTTAAAGAAACACTTACAGAATCAACAGCACATGGTGATAAATAGAACACAACAGCAGACATAAAAACAAGGTGAGAAAATACTTACATACAATCCTTGAGTTTCTTCCCCAATGCCTGCTAGAGTCAACAAGAGACCTGCAATAGAAAAACAGACATCTAAATATTGCCAGTAGTTCCTTCATATTGTAGCGGTATAACAATCATAATGTAGAAAACATGGGCTTAAACCCATTAAAGTGGAAGCAAGAAACAAACCTGGAAGTCCACCAGCAGTTTCAGAGCAGACTCGAGACAGAAAAATGTGATCAATCTACAAACATATGTGAATAATGTGATATGAAATATTTTTCCAACACAAACAGTGATGTACTAGAAACATAAGCCTAAAAACCGGCACAGTCCATCTCGCTTACCTTAGACAGCTTAACTTTATGCTCTGTACAAAATCTTTGCAATCCCTGAAAATAGTATTAGCAACAAGTCAGTTATTCAATATATGCAAACAAGCAAGTAAAATTTGAATAGGGAAAAAAACTTTTAATTTCACCCCCTCAAGTATACAAAGCATATGATTAGTAATTTTAGTCCGTCTTTAAAGAATTGCAAATCTTACCTCAACTTAGCGTTTTAGCATTGGGAGCGACATATGTTTCCAAGAATAAGTGCTTAGAGTAAGCGCTTTTTATAGGGAAAAATTGGTTTTACTTAAAAAAGAAGCCTTTGGCAACTGGAAAGTAAATGAAAAAAAATGACAATGCTTTTAACTTTAAAGAAGAAAATTTGTGCTAATATTTAAGTGCCTGATCGTAGCTTTAAAAAAAGTATTTTTTGGCAGTTGGCACTTAGAAAACAAATTACTTCTTGTAAAAGCACTTATAGCATAAGTCATCCCAAACTAGCTCAAAGTTATATACATTACTAGCACGGAACAACTTCAAGTATTAGCCACAACACTAATTGTGCTTAAGTTTTGAATGCTTACTTCTCCAGCATTGAATATAAATCTTTGCTGATCAAAGAATAGGAGAACCGACGGTGATGTATCTTGTGTGTCCATACCAGTCCCAAGAATCTGCAAGACATAGTTAGAGAGATAATAAAGGTCAAGTCAAATTCCATATTTCATGAGTGTAATCCGGTGTTGTACTGAAGCAGCCAATTCATTTGACACTAAGAGAAAATCAAAGTCAAGATAATTAAGAGAGGAAATTATATTGCTTCATTAGGCTTAATTTGTTTCCACGAAAATTAATGTTGTGGAAAATGCTTTTCAACAAAAATGTTTCATAGAAAAATAGTTTCACAAACAATGTTTTCTAGGCAAAAGAAGAACCAAAAGGAGTTCCGAGAAAGAATCAAACATATCAAGATCACTTCTGGAAAACATTTCCTAGGAAATAAACAACGGAGGCTTAATATCACCTTAGATATTCGGATTGAGGTAAAATAAGTAAGGCAATGAAAGCAAACAAATTACTTTTTTTATTTGAATTATTGAAGTGCAATAAACTTATAACATTATAAATTGATGTTATAAATCATCGTAATGCGCGCATAAGATGACTTTCAAATATTAACAAATACTGCCTCCGTCCCTAAAAACCTTTCCACTTTCAGTTTTTATCTGTCCCAAAAAACACGTCTATTTTCAATTAAAATCTCCTATTCACCCTACTAATTATTAACCTACCTAACACATCATATCTATTCACTATTAATCTACTCATCACATCCTATTCTACCCTACTATAAAGCAAGGGCAAAATTGGAAAGCAACACACAAATGACACACTCCTTAAATTCAACCATTTCCAAAAGTGGAAAAGTTTTTAGGGATGATGTAGCATTCGAGTAGGGGAAAAAAATTATAATTTCATAACAAACAATGAATGATCTTTCGATTTTGGAGACAGGTGAAATGTCTATTCCTCCTTATTTTCTTGCCTTCATGATTTTTCTTCTTCCCAAACAGGGTGCAAAGCAAAGGCATAGCAAGAAATACTCCTAATTACACAAACATATAATTTTTATATAAAAAAAACTATAGAGTGGAAGTAAATGAAACCCTAAAAACGAATGATGAAATAGCAATTTACCTGAACATAACAAATGGTATTAGCATTATTGGGTTTGCGGAGTTTACGATGAAGGATCTTTTTCGGCTTATCATTACCATCTTTACCTTCAGCTCTCCTTTTATTGAAGCCAATATGCTCAGACCCACGGCCACCAACTTCCATTTTATCTGGCATGGGACGGCTATGCCTACTTCCACTTGGAATGTGGTTGTTCTTGCTGCTAAAGCTGTAGTACCTTAGCTTTCTTGAATATGAAGAGAATATGGCGAACGAAGAACAGGGTTTGTAGGATGTTTTTGATGGTCTAAGCTTGAAGAGAGAAGCAAGCAGGTGGTGGTGGCGGTTCACAGCGGAGAGGAATCGAAGACTTGTGATTTGGTGCATTTATCTCTCATCTATAAACCATACATATATTCATATTAATTGACATTAAATAATTAACATGACAATACCCTAAATACAATATTCACTACCAAAACCACAAAACAATTCCTTCACAAAACTGAACCTTTTTTTCCCTACTTGCAACAGATATAAGGCATAGTGTTTAGCTACTTGCAACTGTCTAAAAAATATTATTTTTATGAAATACGTTTAAAATGTCAAATTAATCCTTCAAATGAGTTAGTCAACAATGTTCATACCCTTTCTCAACGACAATTTCGATAAGTTGTCATTTTTTTATTGCAGGTGGAAAGTGTACAACTGATTTCGTACAAACGGAAACAAAGAAATGAAGAATTAAATTCGAACCTAGTAAAAAGGTAATATTTTTAACTTTTAACAGGAATTAATTATACAATATTAAAAAGAAAATATAGGAGTATGATAAGAACAAGTTAGAAATAGTGAGGAGTAAGTATATCACATTGAGAACTGCAGTGAAGAGAAAATATGTAAAGGCAGAAAACTCCACAGCAATAATAATATTACGCAGTAATAAATCAGAAAACAATACTACTCCCTATTTTTAAAAAACAAAAAAAAAGCAGAAATTTTGAAAGAAAAATGGGCAGGAAAAAAAATACAGATTTTTTTTTATTACAAAAAACAGAGAAAAAGTCTTCAAAATATTCTTACAGCAATAGAACGAGAAAGGATTAAAGAAGAACAAGAATCGTACTGGCGGCGGGGCCGACTGGCGAACGACCGGAATCAGCTGTGTGTGGGGCGGCGGAAGGCCGGAGAGTGATGGCACACCGGTTTTTTAGTACTGAAAAAACAAAAAAAGAAGTGGGTTCGCATATTGCGGCTGAATGTATGTGGGCTTCTTTGGGTTTAAGCCCAAACGAGTTTATCTTCTTCCGGTTTAAGCCCAAAGCATGTCGACAGATGGGCGATGGTACGCATGGCTGCCGCGCTCACGCACCTCCGCCCTCTAACCTGCGCCGCCTCCGCCGCCGTGTACTCTTCCCGGCTGGTGCCGCAACCGCCGGACCTGATCAAGTGGGTCAGGAGAGAAGGCGGGTCCGTCCACCCGTCGGTGAAGATAGCAACCTCCGAGCGGCGAAATGGCCTCGGTTTAATTGCTTCTGAAGATATCCCCAAAGGATCTGACCTAATTTCTCTCCCGGAGAATCTCCCGCTGCAGTTTGGCGCGGTGGAAGCTGATTCTCCGATGTCCAAATTGGCTCAACAAGTCCCTGGTATCTTCCCTTTTCTTTCTCATTTCATGTTTTTTAAAATGTATTTATATTAGGATTTGCATTCACATTATTTTTTATTAATTTCCCTAAAAAACACTAATTAATCTAAATATATGATTAAAAAAGTATAAAAAAACAGTCATATTTCATTTTACTTTGCATTTTATAAGGGTAACATGGACAGTAGATTATAATATTTCAGTGTAGTTTGGTAACTGGATTCTTTGCAAAAAAAAAAAAAATAGGATTTTGATTTTTGAATATAAGAAGTGAAGCATTTGGCAGAGGAGCTATGGGCTATGAAATTGGGTTTGAAGCTTCTGCAAGAAAGAGCAAGAAAAGGGTCTTTTTGGTGGCCATACATATGCAATCTTCCAGAGACTTATAGTGTGCCTGTTTTCTTTCCTGGAGAAGATATAAAGAACTTGCAGTATGCCCCTCTTCTTTATCAGGTACTTACTCTCAGATTTTAGAGTTTCTGTTTTGATGGTGAAGAAATGTCCTCTGCAACCCGGAGCAGCAACCTTGAGAAAATGTAAGGCATTGTAGAATTTAATGTTACTCCAGGGTATTAGTAAATTTTTTCCTTCCAAGGTACTTATGACTTCACGACCTTAACGAGGATATGGCCTTAGATTATAAGACATGAAGGTTTAGGATCAAAGTAGTTGGGTAGACCTTTGGACCTTAGTTTGGAGCATGTAGTTTGCCTTAGCCTGTAGGTTATACTTGTGTTCTTTGGGTCCGAGCTGTAGTGTTGGTACGTGGGCTTCCTTTGTCTGGGTTCTCGCTTTATTCATGTTAGGAAACAACATCTCTACTACCAAGTAGGGGTAAGACGGATACGCGCCCCTTCCCAGACCCTATTTCTTGTAGGACTTTACTCGATTTGTTGTTATTGTTATTGTAGTGTTTTTTGAGACTACTAAGTTGCGTTTGGTTCACCCAATTCCATAGACCAAATTTCCATGGAAAAGAAAATGATGGAATGTGGTTCCATAAAAAACTACATAAGGAATGTATTTTGTTATGTAGTTGGGTTGAGGTAAAGAAAAGGAATGGATAGTATTATGCGAAACATATTTATTGAGAAACACTAAAATATTACCATTAGTGTTTTACGGAGTACAAAATTAAATTAAATAAGAATACATTTAAAAGCTCCAGAGTCCAAAATGCCCTCTATGGCATTACATAGTAGTTTTTTAACAACGAAGCCGGAATCATCATTTCAAACGTTCGCCAGTGGATGCCAAATACAATGCCTGCCCATCATTCTACTTGCTCTTACTTCCATTGGACTAAAAGATATTTTAAATCGTGTGGTTATGCTGGAATATTGTTTGCACTAGGTAAACAAGCGGTGCCGATTTCTTCTAGAATTCGAGAGACTAGTGAAACAAGAGCTAGATAATGTGAAGCAAGATGATCACCCTTTTGATGGCCAACATGTGGATTCATCTGCACTTGGGTGGGCCATGTCAGCTGTTTCGTCTCGTGCATTCCGCTTGTATGGTGGCAAACATCTAGACGGGACCCATGAAGATGTTCCGATGATGCTCCCACTAGTTGACATGTGTAACCACAGCTTCCATCCGAACGCAGAGATAATACAGGAACATGAAGCTGGTGATGGGAAAATGCTTGTAAAGGTTTTCATTGATGAGATTTTTTCAATGCTTTAAACTTATTTGCATTTCTCACTATCCTTACATGTTTATGCTTTTTTTGTTTTGTTGGGGGAGGGAGGTGGGAGTGGGGGGTAAATAGGAAATGAAAAGTAGGAGGGAAGTGAAAATAAGTGGGAAAAGGCTGGTTTTTAAGTTGTTTGGGTGTGAAGAAAATTGATTATGTGGGAAAAAGGCTGGTTTTAAAGTTGTCATCATTTTTGTCTTGACAGGTGATTGCTGCAGAAAACATAAAAGGAAATGATGAACTAGAACTGAACTATGGTTGCCTGAACAATGATCTCTTTCTTATTGATTATGGGTTTGTGGTGCCTTCAAATCCCTATGACTGCATTGAGCTCAAGTATGATGCAGCTCTTCTTGATGCTGCCAGCATGGCTGCTGGAGTTCATTCCCCAAACTTCTCTTCACCTGCCCCTTGGCAGAAAGAAATTTTATCCCACCTAAATCTGGAGGGTGAAAACTCTGATCTCAAGGTAAAAGTCTTTTTTACGCGTATTAATTTATTCCATCTTTGTTTGCATATGTCCTTGCCTAAATAAATTTCACAATGAAGTCAAATGCTGTGTACATACCCCATGATTCTACAGTAAATTCTATAATTGGTCCTTTAAAATAAAGGACTTTCCAAAGTTCTAAACTTGTTTTCCTTACACCCTAAAACAGGTCAGGCTAGGGGGTTCGGATGTCGTTGAGGGCCGTTTGGTGGCTGCTTTAAGGGCATTGCTATCGAACGACGAGGACTCGGTTCGAAACCACAGTATAGACATGCTCAAGTCACTGTCTGCCCAATCTCCCCTTGGAACACCAAACGAAGTTGCTGCTCTCCGCACCATTGTTGCCTTGTGTGTGATTGCTCTAGGACACTTTCCTACTAAAATCACGGAGGACGAGTCTTTGTTGAAACAGAACATTTCTGAGACGACCGATCTGGCTATCCGGTTCAGGGTTGAGAAGAAGTCTGTGATCATAGATGTCATGAGAGATCTTACAAAGAGGGTGAAGTTGCTTCTCTCAAAGGAATCTGCCTCTGCTCAAAACTAGGTACCATTTTACACCTTACCTTTTGGGGCAATTTGTATGTCTGCTTTCCTTCTAGGTTTCTGATTGCATGGAACTTGCCACAATTTGGGTAAAAAAAAAACCCCAAGAAAATGGGGCTTTAATGTTTGGTTTTACCTTGGAAATATTGAAGGAAGAATGTCTTTTTAATTTTTATTTTTCAGATATGTTTAGACTTTAGATTGTAGTGTTTACAACAACAACCTAGTCCATTATTTAATGTACAACAACAAGCAAATGAAGTTTAATGTGCATTTTTTATTTAGTCCATTATATTCCCAAAACTAAAACATTGTCTCTGTTTGTTCAAGCTTATTTTATGGAAATGTGTCATTTACAAAGACCTGACTTTCACGAAGTTTAGGAAAAAGTAAAATTTGAGGTCCACTCAATACTTACTATAAAAGGAATTGAATGAGAAATTTATTTTGGGACGAATAGAGTATATTAGTATATATGTAATTTTTCTAAGTGGTTGAAAAATCAAAGGGAGGCAGTGCCTTATGTTGACAATTCAAAACTTCAACTTGAACATGTATTTTGGTGATTTTGAACCATTCAAAGTTCAAACTTGAACATTTGATGACCATACACTATTTGTTTTCTTTTCCTCTTTTGACCTCCTAATAGAAACATGGAATCAATTATAGATTGATATTCCATCTTTATAGGTTGAATATCAATGTTTTCATTAGTTCCCGCCGGTTCTGAAGTATTCGTCCATATTGACTTTTTCTAGTCCGGTTTTCTAGTTGACCCAAAATTGATGGGGGGTGAGGTAAGGGGACATGAGGAATCTCCCAAAATAAGATGCCATAATCCGCATATCTTTTAGGGAAGTGGATTATGATGTAATGTGGCAGTATACATGATCACATTGCTATAATTTTTTGGTAATGTATATGACCATGTTTGGTAAGGTAAGTCTTATTTCGAAAATAAAAACATAAAAGTCCTATTTTGGTATAATTTCAATATTTTAGTCTTGCTTTGGTCTTTCTCCATTTAAAATTTGACCATGTGAATAGTGACTGGAAGATCATTTTAGGACAGAATTTTTTTTTTCAATGCATCATCTCTTTCTTTCATAAGAATGACACATCAGATTCTACTAATTTCATACTTTTCTTGAATTCGTTTACTTACTACAAATGTTTACCGGGGGGGTTAGGGGGGTAGGAATCATCAATTTTATGAATGAAGTTCTGTTGGGGGCAGTGGCTTCCGTGGCCACTGGATTCCAGTGGCCATGGAACCGGACCGATGTTTTTTATTTATTTCACTTAAATTAATAGTATAAATTAATTTCAAAATAAATTTTAGATAATTCACTCTCACAATTTATTAGGGATGTGAACGAATATTAATCAAATCGGTTGTATCATTACAAAATCAGTATCCGTTTATTTTTGTCGGATGTTGAATTCGGTTACGGATCTTGACGGATACTGAAAATTAAAACCGTATCTACATCCGTCGGATATCGGTGATTGGATATATCCGTATCCGTTTCATATTTTAAAATCAAATTAAACAATACTTTAATTTAAAAGTAGATTAAAGTCAAACTATTATTAAATCAACTATAATTTAGTATGTGATAATTATTTTCTTTGTTTTCATGATTTATGATATTTTACAATAACTCAATATGATAAAAAGATATATACAACACACATATACACATTTATTTTGTATATAAAAATGTCATATATTCTGAAACACCTATAGAAAAACAAAATATAAACATAAAAAGTTAGAAAAAACTATACATAACGGATCAGATATTAAGATAAACGATTATTTAAAGGAATGCATATTCGGATTGGATTTTAAACAGATCAAATATACAATTACCAAATCCGTATTCGTTTAGTAATCGAATATGGATAATATCCATTTAAAATGGATACAGCTACTTTCTCTTTAAAAGGATACATCTACGGACGGTAGTCGAATTTTGGGCTATCCGTTGATAGTTCTACAATTTATATATATTGAAATTAAAATATCTTTTAAATGAGGACAAGGTTGGGCAATATCATTCTCCAAAAGGTGAAATCGCTCACTCTGGGCGCTCCTCACCCCCGACCCGACGGGAATGTGAGGGTTGGGCAATATCATGGGATGACTTGGAGGCGCCGATCTCCCGTTCATAAAATTAACGGTTCCTACCTCCCTAAACCTTTTGGAAATCTCCCACCACGTTCCGATCTGAACACACTCCTCACTCCTTCAATTGCATTCCACAAGTTCATTTTGATTTTGGAGACAAATTTTACTTCCCTCACCCCACATTATCTCTGCCAAGACTCACCCATCAAGTAAGAAAGTACTGATAGAGGTTATCCACCATCGTCCGTCTACTTCTTTCATTACTTCATCATCCCCATTAACTCACATGATCCATATACCCTCATTGACTCATTCATTACTCCTCCGTATTATTCATTGATTCATGCCCGCATTCAAAGTGAAGTACGGGAGGGGTTAAATCATCATGGCCATCTCCAAGAAACAGAGTTCCCAATACCCTTTTTTAGATCTTCAATTTCTGGTTTTCCTGACGGCGTGCGCCTCATCGGTTCTTGATTTCTCGGCGGTGAGAGCGGAGACGTCGGCGCGTTCACTCGACGCGCTTCTTCAAGTGCGAGCATTCCGGGCGCTTGCTCTGCAGAAGACTGGCGTGCCCTGTGACGGCGATGTGCCTTCCGGCCTTGCCGGGATCGGAGTTTCGGCGGTGAGACTGAGGAGCGGGAGCGTGAGGAGGAAAGGGTTCAGAGGCTTCAATGAATTCAGCATTCCGGCCGGAGTGGCGTCGCAGCCGGACGCGGAGAGGCTGGTTCTCGTCTACCATAATTTAGGCAACTGGTCCGGCGTCTATTACCCTCTGCCGGAAAGTTACCTTTATTTGACCCTGTATTGGGCCTATGGGTGTATACGAATCGAATCAAAGCAAATATATCACTATTCGATTCGTATTCGATTAAAGTAATATGTATTCGAATTTGGATTCGTATATAATTCGAATTTTAAAAAATATTCGTATTCGATTCGATAGATATTTGGCGTATTTGAATTCGTATTCGAATATTCGAATTCGAAAATATTAGAAATTTTTTTATTAAAATAGATTTCTTAAAGACATTAAATTATTATTTTATAATAATGTAAAATGTAGTAAAAATATGTTATATAAATTTATATGTACACAAAAATTTAATATATTAAAATATGTTAACATATGTACACAGATATTTAATATTTTAGAATATATATATAAATTTATTTATTAATTATAATATTCGAATAATTTGAATAATAAACGAATCGAATCTATTAATATTTGTATTCGGATTCGAATATAATTCGAATCTAAAATACGATTCGTATTCGGATTCGAATTCGAATATAGCGAATACGAATCATCATTTTCGAATACGAATCACGAATCAAATATATTTTATTTGATTTGTATGCACCCCTAATTGGGCCTACTGGCTTACGACGCTTCCGATTTGTCGGCTTCAGAGCCGCCGGAGCTCGATTTATGGGCATCGGAGGTGCCTTTTCTGATTAAGTTCTCACGGATGAAACCGGCGCAGGCCAAGTGTGCGTTCTTCGATTTGGACGGGTCATTGGAATTCGACATTGTTGTCGACGGGAACTAGGGATGGCAACGGGTCGGGTTCGGGTCGGATAGTACTATACTCGAACTCGACCCGACTTTAAAAACCGAAACCCGAACCCGACCCGAAACCCGACTTTTTAAGCCAAAACCCGAACTCGACCCGAACCCCACATTCCAACCAGAAACCCGAACCCGACCCGAACCCGACTTTTAACTAATAATTAATTCGGCGTACCACAAAAATTTTAAAAAGATTACATCTATTTTTTTTTGTGTCTCATTTTTTTATTAAGAAATTATAAAAATAATTATAAAAGGCATACTTGATATAGTAGCACTTTGTCAAGAGATTATACGGAGTACTCATTATATCCATAGATAGGCTTTTATGTTATAAAATATTCGGGTTTGAGTCGGGTCGGGTGCGGGGTCGGGTCGGGTCGGGTAAATTAATAAACCCACACCCGACCCGACCCGATGTCGGGTTCGGGTAAAAAATTTCGGGTCGGGTTTGGTTTATTTTATTCTCAGTTCGGGTTCAGATATTTTAGTGGTCGGTCGGGTCGGTTAAGCTCGGGTTCGGGTTGAATTGCCATCCCTAACGGGAACATATGCAGGGGTACAAAGGAAGGGCATTTCGCCATCGTCGTCGAATTGCCTACTCCGGGGCAAGCCGGAAAACTCCCGGCGGCCGACATCGACGGCAGCAAAAGCAGTAGGGATAATAATGGATTCAAAAAGATATTATTTTGGGTAATTTTTGGGACGGCAATTGGTGGAGTTGTAATTTTGGGTTTCTTGATATTAGTATTAGCTTGTATGAAGAAAAAAAGCGAGGAGAAGAAAACGCCGGAGGAGGCTTCCGAACGAGACGTGGCGTTGCAGATGACCGCAGCCGGACACACAGCGGCGCCGCTGGTTTCCCGGTCTCGGAAAAGTCCGTTGTGGGAGGATGAATATGTTGCATAAGTCTTATAGGTCCATTAGAACATGAAATAAGATGGCAATGATGTCACAATTGTGCACACTTTTTAGTATAACATATTTTTTGTATTAACATGTTTCAATTGCACTAACCAATGTCCGCCCATCAAACTATTATTGTGTTAGGTCGCGTTTGACATCAGCGTCAGAGATTAACGTTAGAGCATTGGCAGCGGCAAGGCAAAGCCTTGCCACTCCATGCCACATCAGATTCTGTAAGTTCATTAGCGAGGCGAGCCAAGCCGTGTCACCCCTCTTTGTGAAGCATCACCGAGGCAATCTTGCTCTTTTTTATTTTTTATCTTTTGTTTCACTTGTCTTCTTCTTTAATTTGCTCCTCTTCTCTCTCTTTTTTTCAGTTCTTTTTCTCTTTCCCTTGTGAAGATTTGTACTGTGCATATAAACTGGCCACTCGAAACAAAAATAGTTATAAACTGTTTGCTACAATTTTGTAAAACCAGTCTTTGGAGAATAAAGTTTACTTTTTTATTGATGAATTGATTTTTCTTCTATTTTCTCCAAGAATCTAAAATTAACTTGATTTAAATTTTCATATTCTCAAAAGAAAGAAATTAAATAAGCTTTTTGCGAAGGTAGTAGAAATTTTCTTTAATGATAAAATATACGGAGTATGATAAAATAATTTTTATTAATCACAATACATCATTTTTTTGAAAAAAAAAAGATAAAAAGAATGACTTGCCATTGTAGGAGTTGCTACTCCACACACATGTCACTCTATGACTAGACTGTTTCTTATTGGTTGAAATACGCCACGTCAGCGTGTATCATTTCATTTCTCTACTTGCCATTGTTCATGCTCTTAGCGTTTTGAAAAAGCTATCCGACGGTAACTTTTAGCGTTAGCGTTTTCAGAATTAATCTGTACCGTTAAATTTTTATCCAAAATGCGAACGCTAATCAAAAACGCTATTGCCAAACAAAGCCTTATTGGGATTTCAATGATCTACATAGATTCAATGCTCAAGTTGTTGAATGCAATATTTTTAAACTTATTTTATTTAAATAGTGATATAGAAGCAGATAACAAATTTATATTATTCATCGATTCGTAAATATTTTTCTCATTTGACTCTTTACAATTTTCAATATTACAATTTGATTACTAATATATGTACTTAAACATAAATATATTTTATCTAATAATATAATTTAAATTTTTGAATAATAAAAAGAAAAATTAATTTTAAAAAAATATTTTCTTTAGCATACAAATGTCACTTCTATAATTAGGAACTATTTCAGGGCAAATCTTTTTGAAAGCTTATCATTTCTCAATTATAAGACCACCAATATACTTCTTCCGTCCCGCTATATTTGTCCACTTTTAACTTTTGGAAATGTTCATCTAAGCACTTTGACTCATCAAATTCTCTCAATGTGTAAGTTTAAATATAGTCATGGGTGATCTGGTTTGATTTGTCTTAACATATAGATTATTAATATATAATTTCTATAATTTTTTAATATACAAATTACAAGATAAAATAGATTAGAGAAGTGTATTGGATGATTTGCAAAAATGAAAGTGGACAAATACTCTAGGACGGAGCGAGTATTCTTTATTTTCAAATACAGAAATCATGAATATTTTCATAATATTTTTCTAGAGCGGACGTGAAAACCATCATGTTGTAAATGGTAATTTTTAGAAAGAGAATATGCGATGTCACACCACTTATGACATCAGTGGTTTGAGCACTTAAAGTGACTTGTTTAAAAAATTGATGGTTTACCCTCCTAACCTATTTGAAGGCTGAGATGAGGGCGTGATGAAATTGATGAGTTCGTAGAGTTAAAAAAATAGAAACCATCAATTTTACGAATAAATCACCGTAGGTTGTCGGTGTCTCAAAACCAATAGTGTCATGAAGTGGTTAGAAATTGCTCTTTTGTTAAAAGAAAGAACCGAGTGGCAATGAATTGGGCTTCAATACATAAATGGATAACAAATTCTGAAATCAATTGGGCTCAAATTGGAGCCCAATATCTCTACGAACTTCTCGGGTCCCGAGTCGTCTAGAAATTTCCTCATCGACAGCTTCATACCAATCGACAACACGAATCTTCGCAATTTCCGTCTCTACGATCTGAAACCCTAGCAGACAACGCGACGCAGGGAAGAAGAAGAAGAAGAGATCGCACCTTGAGAAATGGGGAAGCAGCCCGTGAAGTTGAAGGCCGTCGTCTACGCGCTTTCTCCGTTCCAGCAGAAGGTGATGCCTGGTCTATGGAAGGACCTTCCCGGCAAGATCCACCACAAGATCTCCGAGAACTGGATCAGCGCATCCCTATTGCTCGGCCCTCTCATCGGTGTCCACTTGTACGTGCCGCCACGCTTTTACATAAATCGATTATCTCGCATAGATTTTTTATTTTGCCTCGGTCCTTAAATTGATCTTCCGACTTTTTGCTAATTATTACTGAAATCTATGTTTTCTGCATGAATGATTTCCTTTTGTTTTGATTAGATTTTGTTTGGGTAGCCATTTCTATGAAATGACATGCTTTTGGTACACACACTGCAATTATTTTTGGCATAGAAGAATGGGTTCATTACATGGTAGGCTTGGTAGGTCCAATCTGCAATTTGTATAGTAATAGAATTATACTGGAGCTGATTTCTTAGAACTAAGTTGCAGTGGGATAGGAAATGACATTTTAAAGAATAAACGTAGGATAGAACAATATTTGCCTTTTTTTTGTGTTATCATTGATTATATAGGCTCACATAAACACTTGTGATACTTGAATGGTTTCTCATCATACTTTATTTGAAATTGCTCGTCTTTGATGTGCTATTTAGTCTAGACATGTATTTGTTTTACATCTAGAGCTTGGAATGTCAAATGCATGCTGGTTAGTCCATAAGCTTGGAATGTGTATGAAATGCCATTTCTTCTACATCTGTTTGGACTCATTTATACTCTAACCGGAGTTTTAATTTGGCAAAGATGGTGTTTGTTAAAATTCCACAGAAATCTCGTTTAGGAAGGGTGTATGGCCATAGAACTTACCCCTACTAGATTCATTGGATATCAAAAGTGCATTTATTCCACATCCAAGAAGTTCAAAACATATAGCTCAACTAAAAATAAACACGTATGTAGAAATAAAGTTCTATGGCCATACATCCTCCATAGTCCCTTCAGTGTATGTTTGGTGAACCTCAAAGAAACCAGGCCAATGAAATAATCCTGCCCCCACCCCACTCCGACCACACACCCCTCAAAAAAAAGAGAAAAGAAATAGGGTTGAATCTCCCCAATCATGGAATCAAGTCTCGACCATTGTTGACCCCATTCTACTCTCCACCACTAAAACTTAAGTTCATTTGATACCGTTCTAATTTTTTTCATCCAAAGAGCTGGGTTCCAAGTTTCAAGACATAATATGTTCCGTCTTGATTTCCAAACTCATTTCATTTCAACATTGCTATGCTCATCAAACTAGCCTTGAAAATACTCTGATTAGTTTCATCCCACTTTATTTTCTTAAACAGTATGGTTTGGTGAACTTAGCCATACAAGTAGTAATGGGGAGTTTTATATCATCCATTGAATTATACTCCGTACACCATTAATCATTCTTTCGCTTGTATTCTTCCTTATTAATTATTCTTTCACTGGTTCATACATGCAGGTATGTGAAGCAATACCAGGAACATGAAAAGTTGTCTCACAGATACTGATGGCTGAAGCTGTGAACCTTCTTCGTTGATGTTGAAATTCCCAATTTTTTTAAAAATAAAAAATATTACCTGGAAATAAGTTGAGAACTATGGTTTTTATTCTGTCTGTCTACAACAATTGATCATCCCGTGCAAGATTTCTTTTACAAGTTTTTATGTGTTTTTCAAGTTTTATACTCTACTTTTTATGGGTTTTATTGGGTTGTCGCACATTGTTCGTATGAAGTAACACCATAGTGGATAATTAATGTTAGATTTATTGGATTTTTTGAAGTAGCACCATATAGGGTAATTGATGTTTGATATATGAATTGTTTTTTAAGGCATAGATTTACTTTGCAAATTTAACTGAAAGCAAGTGCTGGATGACATTTCAAATCGACAAATGGCATTTTTACATGGAACATTATTTAGAAAATTGAAAGGTGAGCCAATCACACTGGAATATTATGAAGGGTTTAGAAGATTATTATTCCCCGTCTTAGAATCATCTCTTAGTTTCATTGATCATAAATTAACAAATACGTAGTACTAGTAAATGTTATAACCTACTTATGGAACGAAGCACGGTCACTGTGGAGGCAAGCTGGATCACCGACTTAACACCCCTCCGTTCCTACTGAGATATAGTGACTCCCGAAAACGATGAGGTTAGCATGGTGCTTTAATGACTCTTGAGCTATGGACAACGAGGTCCAATTGGAGTAATCGGGATACTCCTAGAAGAATCACCTATGTAAGAGTGAAGTGCGGTCGCTTCAACAGAAGGATTTCGGGCTGACTCTGACACTCTCGCAGAACCAGATGCATGTTCCACGACCATAATGGGCACACCCATGAGAACAGAATGATGGTTGGTTGAAACTTGTGTATTTTATATCGTCGTTTACATAAACGGCAGTACAGTCCAAAGACATCACGTTCTACTGAACAGCCAATAGAGAAGATATACTTTACAAGGAGTAGGTTCAAAGGCATAAAACCTACCTACTCTTGCAGGTTTCAACTATAGAGTTATTGCCAGTTACATGAATTAATATTCATTCATGTGGGGGATTGTTGGAGATTTAAAGTAATTTGGACCTTTTCGGACATAAATTCGGTAGGGTCCACAAAATTATTTTCCAAAATAATTATGGACGATTAATCTCGTAAGTAAGACGAACGTCTTGACATATGACACGTCATAAACGGTGCTCGGGTGAATGAGAAATTAATTCTCAAAGTTGAATGCTAAGGTAGAGTAAAAGCCTTTGTCCCACACCGGTTTCTAAACCTTTCGTATTCTCATATTTAAGCTTAGGCATTGAATTGAGCTTATGAAAGGAACAAGAAGAGGACTTCTCGCACGCCCGCCGCCGCCGCCGTCTGTTCGGCTCGGCACGTCACGACACGCACGTCACCTACTCCGGCTATAACTCTCGTCGTTCTCGTTCGCCGGTGCTTTGTTCTACCACTCTAGACTTAGCACGTTGCGGTTTTATCCTGGGAGGAGATTGCCCACGTTTGCCAGTGCGGGAGGCGGGCAATACTACCTTAAGGAAAGCTTCAGCGACTACGCTTTCCTTACCCTTCTTTCCATAAACCACTCCGGCGTTGTTCCTCTCTTCATCCGACGTCACTGTTAGCCGTTCAAGCGCCCGTCCGTTCGTGTTCCTGCATCCGTTCGAGCATCCGAAGACTCCAAGTTTTATTTTGTTTTATTTTTGTTGTAAAATCCGAACATTTTATAAGTTCGGATTATTTTATTTTTATTTTTCCCGCTGTAATAATCAACAGGGCCTGTATTATTTAGCCTATTTATGTACTTGTATATATATCAGTTTGTGATTAATGAAAAATAGATGAATGTGTGCTAAAATTCTACATGGTATCTGGTCGAGTGCTAGAAGTAATCAATCTATAGATTTCTGCTTATTGTGATTCTAATTGGACTAGTTTGTGTCTCGTCGCCTTCGTCGGTCCGTCTACAGATATTTTATTATGTTTGGTACTTCTCTAGGGTCATGGAAGACCAAGAAGCATACAACTCTCTCGAGGTATCCACGCGTTATGTTCCTACTTGTTATCAGCTAGCAAATATTTCTACGGAACGTTTATCAAAACATATTTTTGATTTGTTATTCTTTAAATTAGACATTCATGATATTCATTCGCCAACTTAAGTTGGAGTGTTAGCAGATATTACTATATAGGCCGCAAAGTAGCGTGTTGGCCCATATTATCAGGGGCGGATCCATATTATAGTAGTTGGGGGCAATGGCCCCCTACTATTTTTAAGTTTTTTTAATCATATGTATTGTGATACTTAATATTTTTTAATGTCTCTTAGAGTCATGTAATTTATGACCCCAACTTAAAATATTAAAGATCTCAATTGAAAGCATTAGAGACTTCAATTAATAGTGTTAAGTAAGAAAAGAATGAGAGAAGTTGAATATTTAAATATTAAATGAATATAATTTTAAAGTGAAATATTTAAAAGTCTAAAGATAAATTCTTAAGTAGTACACTAAAAATATACGGAGTAATAACTAAACTAATTTATAATATTGGCATTAAATAAAAGAATGATTTTTATATTTTTTATTATTTAAATAAATGTTTGAGGGTAAATTCGTTATTTTTTAAAGTTTCACATTGCATGTATAAAAAAAAGTTTTGGGGGCTTTACCCCGAACACCCCAAAAGTGACTCCTACTATCTAATATCCTGGATCCGCCACTGCATATTATTTAGCCCATCTATGTACATGTATGTATGTGTGTGTGTGTCTATACACACACACATACCGGTTTGTGAATAGTGAAAAACATAACAGTTTCCATTAAAATCCTACATTAATGCATGTTTAAATAATAAAAACAATGCGACATGGCTGGTAAATTAAAACAATGCAACCTTAATTACTTCACTCCATATAAAGTTATGTATGTATCACAAATCACAATATAGTTTAGGATAAACTCCTTAAGCTAAGGGTAATTAATTTGCATATAGTAATATAATTAATGTTTGAACTACCAAAATTGGAAATCTTCATCACCTCACTCTTGTGTCTCCCACTGCTCACTTAAACAAACAACAAAGTGACATGTGTGCGGTGAGTTAGACTTAGAGAACTTTGCAAATTAAATCAGACAGATTTTCTTTTAATTTGATGTATTTGTTGATGTAACTAATTTTGTCATTTTGTATTTTATTATTTTGGTTACAATTTTGACTAAATAAAGTTTTTTTTTTATAATACTGTATATGTTATTCAATGAAGAACAATGTACGTGTTGGCATTGGCATTCATTAGCATGCACGTCCAAAAATAGTTAGGAAAAATTACCCAAAATAATCCCAATTTTACCCGGTCTTTTAAAAATAATCCCATCTTTGACTGTGATGCATAATAATCCCAACTTTATTGAAATTTGTCAATTTTGGGTCGTCGTTAAGTTTCTAACGGAGGGTTAACGGAAATGCCCGTTTTAGACAACAAAATGAAAGTTGGGATTATTTTTGATGAATTTTTATTTTTTAATTTTTTTTTGAAATTTTTATTTAAATTTCTTGAATTACTTTCAACTTCCATTTCTTTTTCTTTTTTAAAACCCACCCGTATATTTTTATTTTACTCTTACCAATTTCAAGTTAGTTTCCATTGATTACCTTATTTATTTTATTATTTTTGTATCATTTTAGTTACATTTCTCATTTTTTTCATTTTTTATATCTATTATTTTTATTTTTTAAACTAAGACTAATCTTTAAAAAAGGAAAAAGAAATGATGATAGAGGTAGAAAGTAATTTAAAAAATTTAAAAAAAAATGAAAAAAATGAAAATTCATCAAAAATAATCCCAACTTTCATTTTGTTGCCCAAAACGGGCATTTCCGTTAACCCTCCGTTAGAAACTTAACGGCGACCCAAAATTGGCAAATTACAGTAAAGTTGGGATTATTATGCATCACAGTGAAAGGTGGGATTATTTTTGAAAGACCAGGTAAAGTTGGGATTATTTTGGGTAATTTTTCCAAATAGTTATTATATACGAAGAACACTATATTTAAGTTATCATAAAAGCCAAAATTAAACACTTCATCCCTCTTAAAAAGAATGTTACAATTTACTATATATTCAAAAAATCATAGAAGTTTTTGTTTATTTGTACATTCTCATCGACTATTTGATAAAATAAAATATTTTTGTCATGGATGGCTCGGAGGGTGTGCAAAGTGGCAAACTGCACCGGGCCTCTAAAATTTTAGGGCTCCATATTTTTAAATTTGCTGATAATTTTAAAGTAAAGGTATTCTAAAAAATTAAAATAGAGCCTAAAATGTAATTTTGGACCGGACCAATTTTATTTTATCATTTTTCGGGACCGGCCCTAATTTTTGTCACATCTTATTTAAAGAAACTTAGCTTTAAATTAAATTTATAATTTTATTTTTTATTTCTATACTAATCTCTAATTTCTATTATAGTGTTAAAGGAGCCTTAACCTTTTAATATACTTCCTCGTTCTCCGAGTATTTGTCCATTTTTAACTTTTTTCAATCAATTGTTTTTAACTTTTGACCCATAATTAAATAAAATATATATTGTATATTAATTAGATAAAATAATATTTTAAAAATATTTGATATATTAAATCTAATTAAACTATTTTTGTATCAATATCTAATATCATTTTAATTTTATTTGAGGTCAAAATTTACTATTTTTGACTGAAAAAAGTAAAAATGAACAAATATTCATGAAAGGAGGGAGTACTACATCCATTTAAGAGTGGTTATTCAATTTTGACTTTTTACAGTGAAAATTTATAAAATTTGAACATAGTTTAAATAAATTTTATATTAGATATTGATAGTTTGATACGAAATATATTTATAAGATTATCTTGTAAGAAATTTTCATATTATCATTTCTTTTATTTAACTAATACTTCTAGTTAACTTCAAAACCTCAAAACTCAATAAATATTACGTACTCCATATTATTCTTAGAGGAAGGGTGTACCCATGTTTCATAGTTAATACAGATGACATAGATGATAATCATTTGTACAACATAGATGATAATTATCTCTGTGATGCAGATAAATAATAATCATCTATGTAAAGCATGAATGTATTGATAGTAGCAACGATTTGGTGGCACTTTGACATTTTTCTTTTAAAAAGGGATGGGTGAGAAATAATATAAAGTCCATAACACCTACACATCTATACTATTAACAAAAGCAAAAGAATTGGGAGGGGGAA